TCCCTAGAAGGGAGCTAGCAACACAGGCTCTTTTAAATGACGAGACTAACAAGCTAAAGATTGTTCTAGCTGTTAGCAAAACAATGGAGAATGGTGGTAGAAACGATCAGGCTCAGAGGCTGTTTCAAAGTACAACAGAAGCAGTTGAGAGTTTGATATGGAACCCAAGTGGCATCAGCGGCATACAGCTGTTGGTATTGACTGTGAGCAGCTCTGTCACTAGTCCAGACTGGCCACTAATTAGTTCTGTAGGCCATTTACCATTATCAACTCGACGACGAAGTACGCACTGGGAGGATGATTGGGCTTGCAGCAAGACTTTGTTTGGAGATAGGACTACATCGACACACAACTATGAAGAAAGTGTTTGGGAATCATGAGGATCGAAAGACTGCGTTGAATGTCTTCTGGTCTGTATACATGCTCGAAAGACGCATTTGTCTTGGTCAGGGTATTCCTTACTCTATCCAAGATTCCTACGTGGACCAGTCGCTATTTTTGCAGGTTGGTGGCGCAAAGATTAAAAAAGGAAGCTTGTTTACTGACGGCTCTTTAGGATAACTCAGATCCTGTACTCCGCTGTCTGCTCCAATGGACTAAGCTAGTAGGCCGTGCGTGGAGGGTTATGAATATCGACGGAGAGAATGAAACGGAGGTTCATGGGGATGATCTTGAGTACCTGGACGCCCAAGCTAGTCAGTGGTATGACGATCTACCACAACACTTCAAGCTCGACGCAAGCCTTGGCCAAAGTGAACCATTCTCAACGTCACTCTTTATCCAAGCAGCTCTGTATCTTCGGCAGAGTCTTCTTCGCAACTTGATATTCCGGCCCGTACTGCAGTCCGTATCTCGCATCAGCCAACACGAAGCCAAGGCCCATGTTGCAGTAGCCCTGGCCAAAGGCGCGGTCTCCACGCTCTGTAGACTGAGTACTCACAGAACCTTGATATTCTCCCACGTGCTCTTCTTCAAACATCTTTTAGTTGCAGCTTTTGGGAATATTCTACTCGCAGTTGTACATGCCCACGGCTTGTTCTGGAATACCGTGCAAACGGAGTTTGACCAAGCCCTTGATCTTATTGAGCTTCTCAGCACAAGGTCACCCCCGATGGTCCGGTTATGGCAGCGCCTGCAGGGTTTGCGAGAGCTTCCTGAAAGGCTGAATGGGCTGTCAAAACCGGCCTTGTCAAGTGACCGTCAGACACGACCTAATGAAGACCATGGAAGGGATAGTTCATTGCCAGGCTCACCAACTGATTTGATGTTCTTCAACTCGACCCTACCTTTTGAATCCTTGTCGGGAGACTTCGCGTTCTTGTCTGACATCGGGATTGGAATTGATGGATTTCCTGATTTTTCATTCCTTTTACATGAGCCCCTAGAATGAAGGCGTTACCGAGGTATGGGAGCTTACTCTAAATAACAGACAGTTTGTTAGTATGGGCTGACTGAAGGCTGGTTATAAAAGTGATAAAGAGGCGGTTGAGCAAGTAAATACCGATGGCGAGGATAAGATATAAAAACATCACAATAAGGATTAAAAGCAAAGAGTTATAGTATAAATGTTAGAGTTCTGATTACTATTGTATTTCATCCTTATTACCTTTTATAACAACTAGATTAAGTCTTATGAAAAAAAAGCTAGAGGGACACATGTGACAGAAAGAAAGGAAAGAGGCTATTGCTGCCGTTCTTGACTGCCCTCAACCCGACTAACAACGAGCTGTCTGGGTCTCCTTTGTATGCCTTTTTCGATCCGGTGGTCTTGAATCTAAATTCTCGGCAGTTGAATGTGCGGGGAAATTTGCTGCACTAGTTCCGATGCACCCGCTAGTTCCGCGGTGTACATAGACGCTAGTTCCGCCTCCGTGCTTCCGTGATGGTTTTATGTGGCTATGAGTCGGTATAGATGCGTAAGCAGATGAGCCTGTAAATGTGCAATGAAAGTATAAAAGCTTCAGCTATAACCTCTTGTTTACGCTTTACGCTTATTATACATTGCATTGCTAAAATGTCACTTGAGCTTGAATCTTTCATCACCTGGGCCTCGAGCCTGCCTATTCTTCTTCAAACATCAGCCGTGGTCGGCTTCTTGGGACTGGTATACATTGTTTACTATCGCTACCTACACCCACTTGCCAAGTACCCCGGTCCTCCCCTCGCCTCGGTCACCAACCTTTGGAAAACCTACCACCTTTGGAATTTGCATCTCCCGCATACGCTTGTTCGGCTGCATGAGCAGTATGGCGACGTTGTACGGGTCGGGCCAAATGACTTGTCGTTTCGTAATCCCGACGCCGTCAACACCATATACAAGGGAGGTCGACAACTACAAAAGACGGGGTTTTACGATGGGTTTACGACTTTCAATCCCAACTTGTTTGGAACACAAGATGAAGAGGTATGCCATCCTTTGTCCATGAATGGGCGTTCCACTAAGTCTAGATATCAGATTCACGCCATCAGACGTCGCCAAATGGCCCATGCCTTCTCCCTGCACTCCATCAAGGAGATGGAGCATTTTGTCGACAGCCATATCCTGAAACTGAGGAATAACCTGGACCATTTCTGCGATAGTAACCAAGATTTTGATCTCAAGGACATGATTGCCCTTTACGTCTTCGATGTGCTAGGTGAGCTCGCCTTTAGCAGAAGTTTCGACTCGCAGGATGAGAGAGATCTAGCCCGATTACCGCCCATCAATGACCATATCTATCTTGCTTGCTTGATGGGAATGACGCCAGATGCTCTCCCGTGGATCAAGAAGGTCCTGCCCTTCATCCCCATTCCATGGCTGCAACGTCTGTTCAACGCTCGTGCGCAGCTTCGGAATCTGACTGCGGCTTGTGTCCGGCAAAGGATTGAAGCTGGATCCAGCGACCGCAAGGACCTTCTCTCGTGCTTGTTAGTAGCCGTTGACCCTGAGACTGGGTCCAAGCTTACCGAGTTGGACATAAATACCGAGGCCTTTGCAATGATGTAGGTGCGATTGCTTATACTGCCTGCCATCTTCTCACAAGCTACAGTGTCGCCGGGTCTCATACAACTTCAGGCACCCTGACGCTCTTATTCTCCCATCTGCTACAAAACCCTGAGGTCTTGAACAAGGTTATCCAAGAATTAGATTCGAACTTATCTAATCATACGGGTCAAGTCACTTCTTACCAGGCCCTCGAGAAAGATCTACCATATACAAGGGCATGCATACACGAAAACTTCAGAATTAACTCTGTGTTTACCATGCCATTACCACGGAAGATTATGACTCCTGGTGGACTTGTGATTCAGGGATGCCAAATACCTCAGAAGGTGAGATTGAACAACATAATAGAATCATTTGAGTCTAACAATAGAAAGACCACTGTCTTTGCTCTGAACCACGTCGTTCACCATAACCCATCGACTTGGGGCAAGGACCACGACCAGTTCATCCCAGATCGCTTCCTTGGTCCCAACAGCAAAGACCTCCAGGGGTACTTGTCGCCTTTCAGTACTGGGCATCGTATGTGCATAGGCAAGAACTTGGCTATGATGAATATTTTAAAGGTGCTCTCTACGGTACTGAGAAACTACAAATTGGAAATGGTCCACCCGGAAGAGCCCGTCGATACTTTGAGTGTGGGTATTTCTGAGAAGAAGGGAGGATTATTGTGCAGGATATCGAGGCGATGATCTTGGTTGGCAATGTCAAGGCCGAGGCAAACCGGGCGCGTCTAGATAAGCAACGCGTCCAGATAAGTAAGGCACCACTGAGCCACATACATGGGTAGATGTTTGGGATTGGTCTGGCGTGCAATTCTCAGCTGCCATTCACCAGTTATTCCGTGAAGATGGTGGATTATCGGGCCGGTCTCGGATCTGGTTAGTATCGGATTCGGGAACTATAGGCAGGCTGGCTCCGAGACTACCTTTCATCATTTTTACCGATTCCAGTTGTCAGCACTAGAGAGGCTATCTAGCAACTATAAAGACATTGCTTGGTTCTTGAAATGTAGTTTGCAGGACAGCGGCCCCCCCGCATTCATAATGAAATCTATCCATTCCTTCATCCAACCAAGTTTAGAAGCTCCCTGAAAGGACAAGTTGTTCTCATCACCGGTACGTGTCTCGGGGAAGAACTGTTCCCTGTCTAGGACCCTGTCTTTATTATTTAACGCTAATTAGGTGCTCTTGGTACTATTGCCGGCGCCACCGCAGAAAGCTTTGCTACTGCTGGTGCCAGTCTCTTCCTATCCGATACACAGCCCTCCCTGCCAGATTCTACCAAGGATGGTCTTTTGCACCTTGGTGCTGATGCAGTGCATTATTCGCGCTGCGACGTCGGTAACCCAAAAGACTGCGAGGAGCTGGGGCAAGAAGTAAATCGTGATCAACACTGCGCTATGGAATGTTTAGTAACCGATGTACACAGGCCACCTCCACTGTAGGCGAGATTGATGTCCTCATCAATGGTGCCGGAGTTGTTGGTCTCCGCGTGGTAAGTACCCCAGATATTTACTTGCTTAGGGGCAGGAACTAAGCAAGACCATATGCATAGTTCCATAAGCAGGATCTTGCTTTGTTCTTTCGGGACATGGCAATCAACTTCAACGCCACGCTAGTGCTGATGCGTTTGGTCCTACCTAGCTTCATTGAGAGGCGCTGAGGGTGCGTGATTTCGTATCCTTAAAACAGAATTGGATATGAGAGTGTATACACTGGTCGGAGTCACATTACAGCGTGGCGAGTAGACAGTGTTAACTACAGCTTATCTAATACATTAAGGTCAACGTAAATATAAGCTGCCCAAATCAGTGAGTCACTCCCTTTGCGTTTACCTATCGTCTTATCACCCTCTGCATCTCTAGACTGAAGTCGAAGTATCACAGGGTCGGCCCAGGAAAGTAGAGGCAGGGAGTAGGCTTTCCAGTTTTTTCACTTCGCGTTTTGCAAAGGTGAGATTAGAACACCCTGCAGTTGTCGTCATTGACACTAGAAGGGCCTGGTCATGCATGGAATCACGAGCCTTTCTGGATTGCCTGCGAGCATGTAGGAGAGTTCTGACCGAAGGACTATAAGACGAGACTACTCGGTCGATTGCTGAGTCTGTTGATGAAGACGTATGACGACCTACAGCATGCAGCGGAAGTGAGCGTAATTCGCCGACTGGAATCCACCATACTCGGGGCCACTCACCATTCATGGGAGGCTTTGAAAAGCCCAGCGCATCCAGAATCGGGCACACTGCAACGTCCCAGAGCCACCCCAGTATACTAGACATATCCGCTTCGGCTTGTTGTATCAATTTAGAGTTGGATCGAATTTGCATCAACATCTTCATCCTTTCCTCCACGTCCTATTCATGTAAGTCAGGAAGGTGTATCGATCGAATGGTAGTTTTCTCAATGAGAATTGCATCTGAGCGATGTACGCTGGAATTGATGAGTACAATAGGCCCTGTAGATGCAGCACTGTTCAATACCTCGACTGGCGGAGGGCGCAGAAGCTTCTCGAAGCCAGGGAGGAGGCGAATCTGCCCAATGGTATCGTCAAGATCAAAGCTCGCTTGGTGGCGGTCATTTCTCTTTGGCTTGGAGCCCAAAGGATCGCCCTCGGCTCCGCTGTCATAAAGATCTTTGATCGGACAGTCTAGCATATCTCGAAGTTGTTCAAACCTTTCAGCTATTTATGGATGACACTCTCTGAGTTCGGTCACATCAGACCGCAACCGAGATCGAAGACTAGTGATGATTCCGCTGCCCAACTCTAGTAGCTGCACAGCGTGGAGAGGTGTTTTCCCTGCTTCGAGAGCAAAAGAGGCGGCCATTGTGGCTATACCACTAGTAGTGCTGAGTAAATGTTGTTGATCATGTTGACTCAATTAGCGAGGAGCCACTGTTGGTAAAAAGTTCACATCCAGCTCTGTAATACGACTTGCTTCTCTCCAATCGTCTTTAGTAGCCAACATTATGCCAGCCAGTGTCGCCGACTTAATTCCAAGCGTGGGCGGTGAATGAGAGAACTCTGCACCATCAATTAGATATTTCAGAGACTCTTCGAAATATTTATCATCATCATTTCTGTCGAATTGTAGATGAAGGAACTCGGCCAAGCTGAGTAGAATGGATCCCTTCCTTGCATGATTGTCGGGTGTTGCTGCCAGAGCTTGTTTACCCAGTTCAATGGCCATATGTAAATCCTTCAGCTGACCCAGCTTCTGGAACTTTATCTAGAGGAATTCCGCCTTATTTAATAACAACAGCCCTCAAGACTTTTCGGTCCACTGACTAGTGACCCGTTCCGCCGACGCGCCGTGCCTTTGACATAGTAATCCCCACCGCAAAGCAATGCCTATTTCTGAGGCATATTGATCGAAATATGAGAAAAGATTGCACTCAAGATGGAACGCTACTGATCCTCCCTGAGTCGTGCTCTCGGGTAGATGTAATGAATTCTTTATAATGTAGACAGGGCTCGAGAAGCACCAGGAAAGCTCGAAGCCAATGAAGTTAATGATTCGAATGAAATCAACCAATCTGAGTTTCCGGGGGTTTAACCTCGGGATGGGGTGGCAATCCACTTCTCAATAGGCAGCGATAAGACTTTGACAGGATGAATGTATGTACAGGCATACCGATTTCAGAAACAATTGCAGATGGCCGAAGAGGCGACCGCATGTTGCATATACGAGGTTTTTCTTTTTCCTCTCGCATTTACGTACACCAAGCGCCATTCCGGGGGCGGATCAGTCCAAGATTCATATTGTAAAATACGCTTCTCTGCTTCAGGTTGCCTATACTCAGCCTCATTGTGTGCCTATCTGACCTACTGAAGCCGCTTGTTGGCTGGTCGGATCCAAGCTAGCCGAATGTAACCTCTACAAGTCATTCTTTGCTTACAAGGTCAATGATACAGGACTACTATTGGTGTTTACGGATTCAGTTTGGCTTATGCCAAGGGCCTGGCGCTTGCCAAGCCCTTGCAAGTTGGAGTGGGGTGTCAGAAGGCAATGGGGCCAGAAACTGCGAGTCTCAGTCGACTTGGAGTGCCTCCCCTGAATCACCGCTGCGAGGTGCTCAATGAGGAATTATCCTTCACGATGCACGCGGTCCGTGCTCACAGCTCCACATTGATTATCTGCATGTGGGCAGCTGCAGGTGCCACACGGAGTGACCACGTTCCCGTCAAGCCAGATTGGTCCAATGATTAATTAATTAAGAAAAATCAGTGTCCTCGGCTTAAACGCCAGTGGCGCTCGCCGATCAATACCAAAAGGCAAAGTACATCCTTCATAGCTACCTTTGATAATCGATGATTGGGAGGATCTGCTGGACCTTTGTGCCAAGAAGAGTCGTTTGTCTCAAAGGTGGAGCGGTACGCGAATGTAGCTTTGGAGGCATAATCTTTACGTTCCTCTCGAAGACATGTTGGGCCGGCTTGTTCCGGACAACATTACCTTCCTGGCTGAGCGGGTGTCATGTTTCATGGCCGCTCGCCCTGGTCAGCACTAAGTCTCAGTTTGGCGGCTGTTCAGCCGTACAGGGCGAGAGAATTCAATCAGCGGAGGGCTCAAATTTTCTTGTATTTCGTTAGCACAAATACAGGTCAGAACTGGGGTCAATGTGACAGTGCGGCGGAGACTTTGTCCTCGCTGACCGTTGGGGCGACAAGACAGTAAATCACAGGCTTTACGAAATTAGAACATGTCATATTCTCGACGCACTTAGCTTATTACAATTAATGTAATCCATATTCCGCTTTTACAATCAGTTTACTAATGCCTCAAGGCCATTTCATCAGTCCTTGATAAAGTAGTAGGATCAGTCAACAGCTAATTCTTGATGTAAAAGTAGTGTAACCATAGTTCTTAAAAATGCTGACCCACGGAAGATATTTTGTATCCCTCCTACCTGTGCAGACATTTCAAAACTTGTTACCAATAATTACGTGTCAACCCCTCCTTTGGTTAACGTGGTTTCCCACTGTCATTATGATACCCGCAAACCATTGCCTCAAGACCCAGGTAAGAGACGTAGAAAATGCCTTATAGACACCGTCCTTATTTCTATTCTCACTTCTTACTCGTTAACTTAAATCAAAGCTCATAATCAATCTTCATTTTGACATGGACGTACGGCCCTATATCATTAGACCATTAAGAGAATGGCCCTTCACCTGCGATAAATACCATACCACTACCTGTGCCAGCATGTGCCAGGCTCAGACCAACCGAAGGGCCCTACTTGGCTGATTGACGTCAAGGAGGGACGTTTATTCCAAGGAAATCATCAGAACAGATATATCGCTCTTAGTTATACTTGGCATGACAGTGCGAATGGAATTGACCGCATGAATCAGCTAAAACTCCTTACCAGCAACATGAGTTCGATGCTGGCACCTAATGCACTGAAGCGAAACACATCGCAACTACCTGCTGTTATCCAACACGCTATCGAACTGACAGGCAACATTGGAGAGCGGTATCTGTGGGTTGGTAGGCTATGTATAGTCCAAGACGGGCCGCAGAAACAGTTTGAGTGTATGCGCATGGACGAGATCTACTCCGGTGCTTATGTGACAATAGTCGCTGCTGCGGAGGGTGGACTGTTCAGGAACTATGGCAAAAGTTCGAAGCGATCCGTGAACAAAACCTCTCATAAGTACTAGATGAGTCACGACGCACGTATCATTCGTTACCACCAAGAATCAGTCCTGTCGAGATGGTCTAATAGAGAGTGGACGTACAAGGAGTACATTATTAGCAAACGTGCGGTTTTCTTTCTCAAAAACTCGGTGTTTTGGCAATGCGAGTGCGCAGTTTGGGATACAGCCTCCCTTAGACCAAATAAGAACGACGAAGCCACCAACAGTAACATAACATCAAATTCGTCACTTCTCCGACGGCTTGACACATTAAACTCGCCTGACTTTGGCATCTGCACTGACCTGGTTTCTCCATATAACGGACGGGAGCTATCGTTTCAGGGGGATGGCCTCACGGCATGCTTGGGTATTCTAAACCGCCTGGTCCCAGGATTTCCTGGCGGATTCATTTTTGGTCTGCCAAGACACTATCTGGATTACGCCCTACTCTGGCACCCTTTGAGAGGACCATTCGACGATGTCGACTCCGCATATTTGTACGACATAAAGATATCCGACGGTTGTGCGGCAAGAAGAAGCTCTTCAACTCGAAGAACTTCACTTCCATCTTGGGCATGGTGTGTTTCTTTGACCCGAAGAGGTTCCGAGCAGGCTCAGCTATCAGTCCAAGCTCGAGGCAGCAAAATACCGATAGTTCTTGGAAAATACGAAATCTTGTTACATGGGATATGATAAAAACTCCTGTGAATACTGCCGGATGTCAAACAATAAAGACCTCTTCCTTGCATAGATCTGCATCAACTGCAGGGAACTACATCTCAACCCGGGCCAAGGCTGTACGTTTATCTCAGCAGCTACGTTAGGAATTCGGTTTGAACCGTTCTCTGATGCAAGAGGAGGATTTATGTGCAACTCTGTCAACCTTGTTCTAACAAAGAGACCTCTCAACAATATGCCAACAGTGATTGTTCTCCAGGACCGGATAGGCAGATTCTCAGGGTTGCTTCGACCCACGGGAGACTCGATTTGTGGGCGGGGACAAATTTTGGAACTTATTGCAATATCAGCAGGAAGTGCAACTGGAAGAGATCTGAAAGATACATTTGAGGACAGGGTACTCCGAAGAAGCAGATATCATGACGGGAGGCTATTTCATGCCATCTATGATCAATACGAGCGATGGATTGATGTTTCAGAGGATCAATCTTCTGAATTAAGAAAACCATCGAGTCGTTGCAGTAGTAATACGAGAATCAGATTCAGTGTTCAGCAGGAGATTATCAAGATGGAATGGTATATGAGTTTTTCAACGTTCTCTGGGTCTTAAATGCAGATAATGGGGTTGCATATAGGGCTGCTTGTGGTTATGTACTCAAGGATTTCTGGGAGGCAGGTTGTGTAGTTGAAAAAACAGTGACTCTAGGTTAAATAGTTTAAGAATAGACTTCCAGTTATAGTTAAGTAACTGTGTATAGAGTATAGGAGTTAAAGGCTGTTTCAGTTTTTTTTCACAACTCTGCCCGCTAAAGAATTGGATGGGGAAGTGATACAGTCATGGGTCCGTCGAAGCTGTGGTTATCACCTGCCTGAATATAGCCATTAGACGTGGCACTTATCAAGATTTCAATCTCTTCTTCCAGCTCCAGAATACGCCCTCGCGCAAGATCTAGTACTTGGCCCCTGCTCAAGACCTGCCCTGAGCTTGGCATGCTGTCTCTATCAGCTAGGGTGCGTGTTCTTGACGCTGGCAGCACCGCTAGAAGACTCTCGAACTGCGACTTCAGCCGAGTGCGGTACTGCTTCTCGGCAAAGTGATGGCATTCTCGGATGTGTGCTGTCGTGTTTGAAGGCACCTGGTATTTGCGGCTTTTGGGCTTGCGTGATGCCTCTCGGAGTTGAACCTCGGACACCAATGGGGCCTGAACCATTTGTGTTGACAACTGGTTCTGTTGTATTGTTGTAGTAGAACATTCGTTCGTTCTGTTGGTCGGGGATTTCATGTCGGCGTCGTGGCTGGGTGCTGCATCAGAGCTCGGTACGTAGTTGAAGGGGTAACCAGCTTGCACATAATCAGCAAGCTCGGGTGAGCTGGACGTGTTGGAGAAATACTCGGAAGATAAGTACTCATCCACGTCCCAGGGGAGGTTTGGAGCAGTAGCTGTTGACAAGAATGCGTTAGTAAGCATCGTGCGTCAGCTTGGAGGGCGACTTACCTTGCTCGGATGCAAGTTCAAGAGGCATCTGATGAGTCTGAGCCAGTCTGTAGTTCATGTTGTTGGTCGACAAGGGTGGTATGATGGAGAGCTAAAGTGGAACAGTGTCGGGTAGACCAGGGGGTGAGAACATGGTACAAATATGTAAGAGATAACCTACGCGGGGTTGATGGTAATCAAGGCTTTGTGGAAGAGTGTAGGAGGTACTTCTAATCTCCAAGGCGGCCATCAGAGACTGCAGTGGGTAGTTGGCAAATTGATGGTTGAGTTGAGTAAAGGATTTGCACAATCTGTTCCGAGGCAGATTAGTCTGCTATTGATTTTAATGTCGAAAACAACCGGTATTACCTGGTTAATAAATAAATCTGGTTGTCGTGGCATGCCGTGACTGCCCCGCGGACATCAAAATATCCAAGCTCGATAGCCCAGCCCAGCCCAGCCCAGCCCTTTACCGAGATAGTGGTGTATCGTATGCCGTGTCGACTGATTCCGGAACTTGCCAACCGATCATACGTTTCGGTTTCCTCCAGCAGGGTCAATATGCCAATGGGACCGTATCTCAACAACATGATGTTGTCGGGGAGCCGGGCCCTGTGGCTGTCTCCGTCTCCCCGCATCAACAAATAGGATTCGGTTGTGAAAAGGACTAGACCAGCCCATGTCACAATTGGGCTGAGGCCTAAAACTGGCCGTAATGACGCGTCATACTGGAATGATGCCAAGCTCTCGGAATGCCCTCCTGTTCATCGGAAATCGCCATACACCAAATGTCAATTTTCAGGCTCTGAGGTCTTGGCAAGGTAAAGTAAGATTCACTCAGCCATCTACAACCTATTGCATACCTACCAACTGTTCTTCGCTTATGAGGGTTCTCAATCGCCGATCGCCACACTTCCAATCCCTGCCAGGTTCTGTCAGAGCATCTCCCACTAATGCAAAGCTCAGAAGTATCACATCTAAGGTGCGCATGATGCTGCCTATCTCTTGTTCGTCGTTGCTTTTTAACGGCACAGCACGCCACATCCCCGATTCCTGACATTGATCTGTTTAAGAGGACTAGCCTTGAACTTATCGCAGCTGAGTCTGTGACAAGGTATAGCTGCCAGAATAAATCACCGAGCTTCGCCATTTGCCATGCAATTAATCCCATGAGGGACTGTGTGTACCGGTTTACAACACATTTGAGTAGCTCCGGATAACCTTTCCTCTTATGCCTTACAATAATTCTTTTACTATTGATAACCGTTCATTCTGGCTTGATTGACTGTTAGTGTTGATTAATCTCGTACTGATGATTAATTCTCATCCTGATGGAACAATTAGACCTACACAAACTACCCTGAGTATTTATAAGTAATCAGGGTAAGCGAGAATGCGGCGAAGTCACTTGGTAACATCGCAAGACTGGCATGTCATCAAGCTACCGACCCTACCAAATCTCCAATGTTACACAAATGGTATGCAAGCGTTATGATGTACAATTGTGTCATTGCTATTGCAACTCCTCCCAGATTTCCCTAAAACGGAGGTGCAAGCCCGACCTGAGCATTCTGTCATGCCCTTATCGAGTGACAGGTCATATTTGAGTCTGATTCTCAACTGCTGGGTTACACAATAATCTGAACCCCTCTTTGCGGCAGCGCTCTGTTCGCCGACTAACTTAATCCCCTGTAAGCATGTGGCTGCTTACGCATATGACGCCACTACCCCTTACGCATCCCGGGTACATGGTAAACCTCAGAGAAAACCCAGCTTATTTGGCAATACTGCATCGGACTTAATCCATTTTGAGGCGGAAAATCGTTTGACACAGAAATGTGGCTTGCTGCCATCATCATATGACGGTGATCATGTTCTCTCAGCCGCAAGGTAGACATGTTTTTGCTTCGTGTCCACATTTGTTTCTCCAATACCGGCCGGGAAGGGCGTTGGTCTAGACCACCAACCCATGATATGACCCTTACGGTTACATTGACGTTCCATCTAAGATCCCCAAGCGGAGTGAAGAGATAACATGTCTGCCTATAAGAGGAAGCCAGCAGGTAAAGGACAAAATAGATCACTGTAATGGCTGCCCAGACACCAGCAGACATTGCGGATATTCAATTTATACCACCGCAAACCTCTTAGGCAAGGAACTTCATACAGCACCTAAGTACTCTATATCGTAAGTATAGCATTTATGCTTGTGTGAAGTGAGTGAAAACTAAATGGTTTTATCAAGTAATAACTGCAATGGATGCATTCTCCTCTGGTTATGTCTGCAACCCGTGGCATGATCCCTCAGGGTATCCTGCCTATCCAACCCCAGCCGATACTCAGTTCGGCTTTGACACTCTTGACTTGACGAGCACGTTCGCTGGAGATCCAAACAACATCATCCAGCCTGATTCCTGGTTCTTTGAAGGTTGGCTAGATGTTTCTGGAGTTGTGCAAACAGAACAGAGTGCCAGCCAGGAGTCCACAGCAGGAGCATGCCCAGAATATGACAGTCTGGGCCAACCTCACCCCGCTCAGGAAGACTATTCACGGGCAGTACCCAAGGGTCAAGAAAACGCAGAGCTCCGTCCGAGCAAGACCGTAACCGGTACAAAGCAACGTCATGTCAGCCATAGGCGAGATTCTATACAAGATATCACATCACGCGTTCGAGAGAGAAATCGCAACCTTTCTCGCAGGTATCGAGGTCGTAAGCAGCATGAGGCAGAAACATTGGAAGCTCACGAGGAGAAATTACAAGAGGAGAATGCTGTCCTGAGGACTTGCTATAATGATTTGAGAAACGAAGTACTGGGTCTCCAGGATCTATTACTGCAGCATACAGGCTGCAATTGTACCACGATTCACGCGTTCATTGCCGCTCAAGCTGAGCGGTCACTACATAGCCTTCTTTCACCAAACTCACAATGTCAAGGTTGTCAAAATCCGATGGAGACTTATATACCTTAGAAGAGTAGTAGCAAAGGATACCAGGCCTGGCTTTAAAGCTCTCTATTGCTATTTAATTATAATTTAATTAATATATTAATAGGTATTATTTTACAAAAGCTATAAGGTATTTACTATTTGTTGTCCTCGTATGTGCAGCACTCTTAAGTCAGTGACTCCCTCTAGCTATCCCTGCCTGCCTTATAAAGCCGCAGCCTCTATTCATACTCAACAGCCACTTTACCTTCAAGTTCAGCAGTTACCTAAATGCATTTAGGTCAATGAGAAACATTTTTATCTCATTGTAAGATTAGCGAGGTTAGTCTTGGCAGAGCGGGGGTTTTGAAAGCCTCGGAAGGAGTCAAGGGCCAAATCGGAGGCGGGGACAACGATCTCCGCATCCATCGGAGCCCTCGTTGACACCTGCCTAATTGGGTCATCGGAGCAACGGCTGATAGCTACCTGATTGGGCAAGTGATAGAATAAGCGCACTTTAGAGATAAGGAATGGAGCTGCGGGCAATCAACAAAGACAACTTTTTGACAGATTTATGTGGATCTGTAGAGTAGGGAAAGATGCCTTGGGATGTCATATCGGCAGAGCTAGGCTGGGGGGTTTCGGGTGGCTGACAGCTTAGAGATGTAAGGATTTAAGCTTATTATCCTTCCCTCTAAGTATTCCCTATGTGGGGGGTACTAAGGGAAGGGGGGAGCAGTGGCCTTGGCAACAGTTGGACGATGTCACGTCTTACAAGGATGCGGGACGGGATAGAGACTTGGATTCAGTAGGTACTTTTTCTTTCTCTCCCCCGTCCCAGTCTTTGAAGAATGGGATGATGTCACACATGGTTTAGCAGCCCTGAATGCCAGGGGAGAGAGGAATGCCAGTACTGATGTATAAGGCAGTGATTAACGCCCTTCCATACATATATATCCTCGCTAATCGCTGCCACGTTACACAGTAGCGTGTCCCTTCTGTAACATCGAACGTCTCTCAAAAAGAATCACAAATGCCACGTCTAGTACAGGTACTCCTCGCAGCTGGGGCAACTCTCATCAGCCTTACCTCTGCACAATGCAACCTTACTCCCAAGGCCAGCATCGCTACCGCTGATGGCGTGGAGTTCAAACTCCTGCGCACTGGTCTGCAGAGGCCTCGACACCTCGTTGTCGACACCGAGGGCAACCTTTTGATCGCCGAGGCTGGCAGCAAGGGTGTGAGGAGGGTTGTCCTCGATGATGGTAAGGACCTCGATGTTTGCATCGACTCTGATGACGCCTTAATTTCTAATGCGAATGTACGTTTTTCTCAATCCTGCTTCCGGCTAGCAAGTAGAAATAACAGGTTCGTGTAAATATAGCTGAACCACGGCATTGCTCTCACTGCCGATGGTAAAACCATTCTCGTGTCTACTCCCAGCGAGGTATACGCCTACGACTACGACGCCTCCAAAGGCAGCGTCGGCTCTCGTCGGACCGTCATCACGGGTATGAGTGCCACTTCGACTCATTCTACCCGAACCCTGACGATCCCTCTCGCTGGCAATCCCAACCTGTTGCTCGTGGCTGGCGGATCCGATGGTAATTTGGATGTCGAAACTGTTGACAAAGATGTTGTGCGCAGCCAGGTGAGAGTCTTCAAGATTGATGAACTTTTAGCGGCGGATGCTCCTCTAGAGTATGGTGAGGCGGAGGTACTTGGCTGGGGTCTTCGTAACAGTGTTGGTTGGGCAGAGGACCCTTCTACGGGACATATCGTAAGTGTAGTCTTTCTTTTCCAGCCACGACTTGTGGCTTGGTGATAGGCTGTTGACTGACTCGACTTGCAGTGGTCCGTTGAGAACTCAGTCGATAATCTTTACCGCGGCGACGTCGATGTCCATAACACCAATCCCGGTGAGGAACTCAACTTCCATGGCCTTCCCAATGACACCTCCAGCGCCCAATATGGTGCCAACTATGGATATCCCGGATGCTTCTCCATCTACGACACCTCCAACATCAAGGACTACCCTGGAGGAGCAGAGGTTGGCAAGCAGTTTGCTGGCACGCCGCAGGGAGAGAAGGATCTGGGCTTCACAGATGAGGAGTGCCAGGAGAAGCAAGCGCCGAGGATTACGTTCGGATCACACCTTGCGCCGCTAGACATTAAGGTCCTTGATGGTAGCGCGGCATATATTGCATTCCACGGAAGCTGGTGAGTGCCCTCACATATGATTTACCGTTGCACAAGTGTTGGCTAATTGATTTCAGGAACCGCAACCCTGGTGATGGCTACCGTCTTAGCAAGGTGGACTTTGCCAACGGCGAGCCAGTGCCGGAATCTGACGACGCTAAAGCCGAAGTGCCGCTGATGTGGAACACGGACAATACTAAGTGCCCTTCGGGGTGCTTCAGACCGGCGGGCCTGGCATTTGACAAGTCCGGAAGGCTGTTCTTGACCAGTGACTCTACGGGAGAGCTGTATGTTCTGACAGGTGTATAAGGGCCTGAATCCCTTGAAAAAATATTAAGTAGATAAGCTACACTTAGTGGAATTGACTTTATTCTTACTATTACATTGTGGCCATGCCAGAATGTTATAACATAATGAACGATTTATCTGTAAACTTAAAGATCAACGACAAACACTGAGCCATTGTGGTAAACCTGAAATGTGGTTTCTAACCTTAAAACTGACTCATAAACTCAATACCGCCACGACCTTCTGATTGCCCCAAACCGACGCATCAGAGGCATCTTCTTATACCCGTGGGGGCGGTCAAATGAGTCATCTTTTAGGTTTTCATGATATCAGTTTTATGCTGTAGCAATTGGTCAGGCATTGTGATATAATGTCTAAGTTGTGAGCCAGATGTGTTATTTGCAGTTGAGACTTGTGGCTGAGAGCTTATATCAGCACAGAGAACTTAGGCAAACACTGAGCCATCACTGTTGCCGCTACAAGTGAAACTACATTTCCCATTACCAACAACTAATCCAGCTCCAGTATCAGCGCATTTCTTCGACGACATGAAGTAATGAGGATGGTTGCTCTGCGATTTGCATGTTGAGCCAGAGTGGTACAGAAGGAAACAGTTGCGGTTAGCAGCACGGAAGCTCCACGTCTCGCAGCCTGTAAACTTCATGCAAGAGTTACAGCACTCTTCAGCACTGCTGTCGCCACTGGCAACGATCTGGAAGTCAGATGGAATTCCGGGACCGTTGTTGAGAACGTTGGTGACGTAGTAGCCTGTGCTGGCGCTGTTGAAGTCGGGGCCAAACATGTTCTCTGCTTGGCAGGCGGCATACTCGGTAGGGCCGGAGATGGCCTTTGTTTTAGTGGCGGTGGCAGACTTGGTTGTTGTCTCCCAGGTGGTGGAGTAAGTAGTGGCCTTCATGGAAGTGGTGAAGGACTTGGTGACAGAAACGTCTTTGGGAATGAGGGTTGTTGTGGAAGAGATTGTTTTGACAATGGTAGTTGTCTGCATACTAACGACTGTCTTGGTAACTGGAGTACCAGTTTTTTGGACGGCTTTTTTGTTGGCATTTGGAAGGAGTCTAGTACCTGTGCAAAGAGGGTAGTTAATGGTTTATACATGTCACGATGCATGTCGGGCAGGACTTACACTGGACCTTTGAAGGGAATTTGCAAGGCTTCATTCCAGGCTTGATTGTTGCTCGAGCATGGGGGTTCTGAAACAACTTGTCACCCTTTTGCGCATTCAGAGATCTCGAGTTGACCGTGTCCGAGATGAACTTGAACTCAGCAGTAGTTGGAATCTGAGTCGTAGACGTTGAAGTCCTTGTGCCTGTCTTTGTACTGGTAGTGGTAGTAGTAGCAGTCACGGTTACAGTGGCGACCTTGAACAGCGTGGTAGTAGTGCTGAATGTGCCGGTGTCGCCTTTACCGGTGACGGTGAAAGTCTTGGTAGAGAACACCGTGATTGTTGACCATTGGTTGGCTTTCTTAACCACAGTTAGAATGATAGTAGTTGTTGTAGGTACAAGGCTGTCTATCTTGGTGACAGTGACAGTATGAATATCCTCGGCTGACTCTTCGCCAAGTTTGGTCTGGCAGGTAACATCATCATCGTCGGCTGCGAAGACGGATGATGAGAGAAGGAGAAGGAGTGCGGAGAATAGAATGGTCTTCATGGTGAATGGAGGGGATCTGATGATTGGGGAGGGTAAAGGGATTACTGTACTCTCGGGCTACACAGAGGAAATAGCCTAGCACCTGTTGTTATATACAGAGAGCTTATCAGAGAGCTCGCCGTATACCACTTACAATTTCATCTATATGAATGCGGTTTTCGCCACTCCATACAAAAGAGTCAAAGAATCCAAAATATTAAGACTTGCACCCATTACAAAGATCTGCAAACGGCCATCTCCTGGTTCTAAAGAACCCAGCAAGGTATCTTAGATAGAGATGCACTAGCGCATAGCTTACTGAGAAGAAGGGTTGGCCGCGATGGCGTTATCCAGACTCCAAGCCTTGGAATGTGAACATGGGAAAGTTGTCTTTCTTCCATACCTAATCTAGCTCGGGTTTCCCCATGTTCTCAAACCGTGGCCAGCCACATTTTTGTCTTGGCTCGATTTAGAAATGGACTGCGAGCCGATGAATGATAGGCGGAACAGAGAAGAATGGGAAATTGGCTACCCTGTTAAGAGAGATTGCCAGCTAAAGGATTTAAGTTACTATACAAGAGGACATGAGAAGATGAGGTCTCTCAGCTGTATAAAGGCTACCAAATATACATTGGGAAGTTGCAGTCTATTTTACCAGTTTGGTAAAACTTTCAGTTCTCCATAACTCGCATCTATACTGAGGCATTCAAGTTGAGTCAAGCTTGAATCATCTTGGCGCGTTTAGGCCGTTTTCGCACGCTCGGGATCATGTGCAACGGCCTCAGTCTCGACTCTTATATTATCCTCCCCAAGATATATTATATTAATATAACTCTAAATAGGTTTGTTATTAGGCATATATTACTTAAAGTTCCTAATTATAGCTTTTAGTACCTTATTATTAGTTAGAAATATAATATAAGTTTATCTATTAAACCTGCCCTTAACCCTTATCTCCTGTATTATAGAGATTAAGCTCTATGCTTTAGAATACTTAGTTAATCTATTTATCAATTTCTTTATAGAACTTATCTCTTTCTAGGTTCTATGTATCTGTTTAATTCTTAGCTATTATAAAACTTATATAACTAAAGCAATATATCTTATCCTGTATATTAAATCTCATCCTTAATACAAACTACTTAGCTATACTTAAACTTTTATTTATTTTAAGCACTAATACCTTTATATTTATAATACTTAAGATAAGATATATTAGAGATAAAAAGATTTTAGTTTATTTCCAGGGATAAATAACTAGTAATAAGCTAAGTATTTAAAGAATAAAGAAGCGCAAGTCTATAGATTAAGAGAGAATCTAATTATATTAAATTAGCGGTTAAGTCTGGTCTTTATTCAGATAGCAGTAGGCTGTCAGTATGTGGAGATCCAGCGGAATTTACATTCCGGCGGGATGTGCCGAACGGGACCAAGTAACATATACTACTACAGTATTTCTCTGCGTGAACGTCTTCAGTGTGCGGCATTAACAATTGCGCGTTCGCTTCGGTGCTTACACGTGGCACTGATAAAGTAAAAGAAATCTTCACAGTTGTATAACTACCTAACACCTGGCATAGAACTTCATCCATTCCATGTGTGATTTTGCCATACTACACCCACGTTTAATATATTAGTTCTTATTGCTTACTATCTTTTTATTTTTTATTATAATTAATTTGTTATTTACTAAATAACACAGGGAATACTGTTAGGAATTTTCATAAAAGGAACTTTAATATCAAGTAGTCCAGGCATTATGCATATAATAGATTATACTAAGACTAAGAAGCTCATAAGACTAATTTATATCTATATAAATACTTAAATGGTTTAAGTTTAAAGGATAAAACAAAAGAATAAATAAGAGAAAAGGAAGGAGAAAAGGAAAATAAGCATATATATTAAAAAAGGCAGATTGTGTATGTGAGATGGTAGAATAGATCTAACCTTCTGTTGTATAAATGAGTTCCAGATCCTTAGTTCACGTCAGGCCATCTTGGTAATATTCATTATCTTACAGATATTAGTATAGAGCAGGGATATGGAAAGAATACTAACCCATCTTATTAAACGTTTAAATATAGCATCTTCCCCGCCAACACCAAGTAATTGGGCTTTCTCAGCTTCTGCTATTATCAATATACTAATCAATTATAAAAGCGCAAACGCTGGTTTCTCACCTGTCATTGTCTTGGCTATATTGTTGAGGGTTGGCTGTGGGGCACTACTGGTATCTTCGTCTCGATTCAAACCGTAATTCGCAATCCAGTGACTTCCGTTTTCTCTCTTGAGACTCGGTATCCCTGTTGTTCCAACAGCTGTCGGCGGCGCGTCAAGAACAGTCGGATGAACAACAACGGGCCGTATCAGATAGTGCAGTTGGCGGACAAGCTGCTGGGCTGTATCAAGCTCCCATGCCCAGAACTTGATGAGGTCGGGATCGAAAGGTGGTCCGTTGTACCACTCCGTCCAGGCCGCTGATACCGAAGATAATTGTAGAGATTAAAATGAGAAGTAGTACACCGAAAAGACTGAGAGTTTCATGCTCGGATGAGCGAACCTTAACAGTCCAGCAGTCTTTGCTAGTCGGTTGATACCCTTTCACGGCTTTGATTGCCCGTTTGTAGTCCTTTCGCTTCTCAGGTAGTAAAAACATAGCTGTGTTTTAGACCACTGAAAACTGCATGCCAGCAATTGACGCTCCGATCCACGTCCTCGCTTCATTCTCCCAGAGACCGCTGCGAGGTGCATTTTGCTTCCCATCACCAAACCCTAGGCCATATCGTCGCACATCAAGTACCTCTGGACCAAACTCTTTTAGGTGTGAAATAATATTGCTTCCCACAACAAAGCCTGCGCCAGTGTCGGGTGAAAATGACTTGAAGAAAGTCTCCAATTCTCTCAATGTTGGGAATAGTCTCAGGAGATTTATAGATGAAGAGGGGACAGAAACGAGCCCTGAACAGGTATTCGATGGAACAAGGCATATCTCCATCTGGTCTGCGCAGCCAATCATGCCAACTGGGTCATCGGAGTAATACCAGTTGTCATATTCTCTGTCATCTCTATGCAGCGAGATGAGATCTTCTGGGGTATATCCGTTGTCATCGGGGGTATTGTACCAGAGGCCTGAAGTGTTTCGAAAGTTCTCTCGTGTAGCGTGAGCGCCAAAAAGAACATCATCCACTTCAGTCCGGTATTTCACACCTTCTTTATTTACAAGCACAATAACAATCTCGGCATCTGATCTGTTTAGAGCGGGGTGCATATATGGCTCTTTCATGGTCTTTATCCGGTAAGGACCACTTCTTGCAACAGCTACCACTTCGTAGTCATTCCGGGAACTACGGCCGATGTGAACATCAAGTGGAGTGCCACCAGTCAGCGAGGAGACCTTCGGATTCGACTCGACACTAAAGTTGAAGTAGTGATATCCTTGAACAGGATTAGGCGGCAATGTTGCAAAGATATCCGGCATGATAGGCGAGCAGGTTGTGCGTCGTCTGATAGTAATATAGATGGCTTCTTTAGTGTTTTTCCCGAATACCAGCGGAGAAAGGTGTCCTGTATCGAATGATATCGGCTGTGTCTTATTAACGCAGGCGCCCTCACGGAAGGGGCACCTCAGCCCCTTTCGATGTTCAGACCAAGGGATATTTCTTCTCGAAAAGCGACTGCAATCGACTGCATAGCCTCCATCGCGATAACATGTGTCATAGTACCATCTGGCTACCGCTGAAGCAGCTTGTCCGGGCATTTCATTGCTGACTAGCCCAAGGCGAGAGTCGAAAAGCCCTGATTTGCTGCGAGGCATCACACATCTTAAGTCTTCCATTAATACCAATGCATTCGGTTTGCCCTTCGAGAGAACGAGCGGGAGCCAAGTGGCGAGAATAAGGAAGCATAACCAGTGAATCAACCCGATACCTAGTATCTTCCAGGAGGATCGTCGAGAGGACTTGAGGATGTTACCTGGAGCTAGGCTGCCAAAAGTCCTCCAGGTCGAAAGCAGTGAAGCCATTCCAAACACAGCTCCAATATCGCTGCCTTTATTCCTTAGAAGGACCTTTTGCTCTCTAATTATAGCATCTCGGGGTACATGGTGTCGTCGAGAACGGTGAAGAATATAACGGAATATTTTCCATGACCTGAGGCCTGTTATCTGGAGCCCAAGGGCTAACAAAGCCGTGATAATTGTGGCCTGCTCACTGCTCACTGTGAAGTTTCAACCCCAGACACCACCCTCCTCGTAGTCATACCAAGTACCGATCTTTATAATATCGCCAGTCATCGCTTGAATTTTAATGAGATAAGAATTGCAGAGGATATAACATGAATGCGAAGTCAGTTCTGAAGTGTGGGGTTATTGCAGTTTAGTAATATACTTCTATACTTCTGGTGGCTTGCATAGCTGGAATGAACGCCTAACCATTTAGGAATAGTTTGTAAAACATAAACGTAATGCGTAGGTGACTTGTTGTGTTTCTAGGTGACTGAAGTTGCTAATACTCACAAGATGGATATCTAAAATGAAGATTATATCAAGACTTATAGCCAAGTGAAAGGACTATATATAAGAATTTAAGTGGTAAATTAGTGGGTTCTCCTTAAGGCATATTTTATTATATAATTATTTTAACTTTCTATAGTTTATTTCTAGTAAAACACAGTACTAACCTTGAATAACTAATAAGAGATAAGTAGTTTAAATAGTACTCAAGTTCAAATACATTCAGATGCCATAACAACAAGGAGGTTAAAGCGCTAAAGAAAATAATAGTAAACTATAAGGCTACTATTAAAGTGACTTTAAGCCTTATGGCCTGACGCTTTACTGTGTTGAGTTTGGCTTCGGAGGCAAAGCTTCGCTTACTGGCACCGTTGAGGTTAGCTTGGTCGGCGGTATTGAAGTAGCTCAGATCCAGTTCAACGCCTAGTTCAAAGCTGGGCTCAACCTTGCCTCAAAGGGTTCGTTACGTACGAAAAGGAGTGGACTTATCTAATTGGCGAGATCAATCCTTGGAGCCTTGGCATAGCGCTACTCTGTACTGTTGGGCCTTACATAGGTCTCGACGTCAAGGCTGGAATGAGTATTGAGGCAACTGGAACATTGCTCATTGGAGCTTCGGTTGAGTGGGAGAATATCGATATCTTGATTGATCTTGTCAACTCTGGTAACAGCCACACCAACGATCTTACCCCTGTCTTCAAGCACACGGCCGGAGCCACTGGTGAGCTCAAAATGGAGGCATCTCTGGGCCTTCTGGCTAGTGTTGGTGTCGAGCTCAAGCTTCTATCCAGATTATGGGAGGCCAAGAGAGGAGTTGTCGACACGCCGTCAGTTGTTCTTGAGGGCAGCTTCGAGATGAGCGCGACAGTTACTGACGACGGTGAGAACCTAGCTAATATAGATGGTGATTGCTACGGAATTGCTTGGAACATCCATTTCGAGAACTCCTTCAATGCGTTTGTCACAATTGGTAAGAGTACAACGACGATCCCTCTGGTAGATCCTCTCAAGAGTGATCCTATTGCGCAAGGTTGCATTGGCTACATCAATGACGGAACTAGTGATGATGGATCTGATGATGAGGGGTATATCGGTAACCGGAATGAACTGCGGTGGTAGTGGTCTATTCGCTGATTGTGTTGGGTCACAACCGGCGCCTGTCTTTTATTCAACATCCAAGAAGAAGACTGGCAAGAAGGCCGACACTAAGTCCACTAAACAGAAGGGCACCGCTCAGAGCAAGTCCAGTAGCAGTGATAAGACGGCTACCTCGAACAAGAAGCCCAAGACATCAACTACCGACAAGAAACCTACCAACACCAAGACTAAGAAGCCGACCAGAACCTCTAGCGTTCTGACAGCCACTACCAAGAACACCAAGTCTACCCAAGCTGCGAACAAGAAAGTCAATCCGACCAAAGCATCCATAACGTCCAAGAAGGCTTCTCCAGCATGTAATCCCTCGGCTATCACCAACATCAAGACCCCTCCACGTTCAGTTTGCAAGAGAAATGTGGCAAAGGCTCGTGTCCCCTCCAAGTCCATTATTGTTGTAGCTTCTTCTGTGAAGAGCTTGAGCACTTGCACCGAGATCTGCTTGAAGAGTAAGCAGTGTATGAGTTTTGGATATGGTGAGGATAAGACGTGTCAACTCTATGGGAAGAACTTCAAGAGTCTTGGAGTCACATTTGGGAGGGGGAAGCAGAGTTCGTTGTTTTGCGATAGGAAATGCTATGCGTATAGCGAATGTTCCAAGTAGCATGGTAGATCTTGAGGATACACTGAGGGGAACAGGCAGCAATCCTCAATTTGCATAATTTCTTTTGTCATTCAATACGATGCGTCACACTACGTATACATGTTCTCATATCTTATCATCATGGGTCTTTCTGCTGTGCGAGTATATACTGTGATGTATTGTCATCCGAGTCCACCAAGGTGTTTAACTATGTACGGTGAAGGATGTGCTGGATCCCTCGGTAGGACTGGACCATTTGTATATAATAATACTTCCACCAGGTTGCAATGTACAAGGAATGTAAGATCTCCCTCCCCACTTCTCAAGTGCATGACTTAGAGATAGCCAAAGCATTGGCTGTCCCCAAAGTTCGCGAACACTCAACTTATTTAACAGCGGAGCTTAGCGCTCTTGCCAGCAGCGGCGTTAAAGAAGGTCCAGGTCTCACCAGGGGCGAACTTCTGACCGTTGGCAGTAGGGTCGGCAACATGGCCACCGCCGTGGCCGATCCAGGTGACGGGCTTGCGGCTGCACGTGTAAGAGGTCTTGACGTAGTTCTGGGCACCGGGCGCGGGATCGTTGACCTGCTTCTGCTGGCAGCCGTTGGTGCCGATCCACTTGTCGCGGAGCTGTCGGCCCTGCTGGATGCTGAGAACGTTGTCGGCGGATCCGTGGATGTGGAGGTAAGAGACGGGAGTGTTGCCACCGTTGCAGCCGGAGAGGAGAGCACCAGAGATGACAGCGACAGCAGCGAAGTCGTCTATGATGAGTTAGCATATATAGGACTGGTAGGATATCAGGATGATGACGTACTGGGTCGGGAGCAGGCGACACTGTGACTCATGGCACCACCGTAGCTGAAGCCAGTAGCAAAGACTTGCTTCTCATCAATGCAGAGGTTCTGCTTGGCAAAAGCAAGCATCTGATCAGTGAAGGTGATATCCTCACCACCCTGGTTAGCCCAGCCAGCGTTGAGACCGTTGGGAGCAATGAAGATGGTGGAGTCGCCAGCCAAGTTACGAAGACCGTAGTAACCGCCCTGGACGACGTTGCCCATGTTTCCGCTGAGCCAGTGGTAGCCGAAGACGAGACGATGGGGCTTGTTGTTCTGGTAGTTGTTGGGCAGCTGGAGGGTATACTCGCGGTTCTTGCCGTTGACCTGCATGGTCTTGACGCCACTGGAGGGAGGCTGCTTGCCACAGCCAGCTGAGGCAGCGTCGCCGAGCCCAGCTGAGGCGAAGAGGGCGAGGGTGAGGGTGAGAAGAGATCGCATTGTGAACGAAAGGACCGGGCCTGTTCTTGAGTTTCCTGGTGGAGAAGAAGAAGAAGAAGGTAGTTGGTTCTGTCTAGCAGATCCTTGTGTGATGAAGAAGAATTGAATCTCTTGAAGGTGAAGAATTGAAGATTATTATATAGTTCTCGTATCCCTAGACGTTGCCCTGATTTTCAGCTGCCGAAGCTTCACCCGTGCCAGCCCTGAATACTCCTCACCAGGGTTTCCCAAAGTGGCCATCCTGCACAGATCATTGTCATGCGTAGAGTCCAAACAACTTCACCCGGTAGTCAACCCATTGCTCTAAACAGCCGATAATGTCCATCAATGGTCGAATGAGGGATCCGGAGTCTGTGGGTCCGAGGGCTATATCCCCTGTCGCACTGAGACTTTGCATGGGGCTGTTTCGAAACAGCAATAGTTTCATTATTAGCCGGTTGACCATTTTCCATCAATTGCTGAGGACGTCTGTTTCTTGGACCATGGCACTGAAATCTCGCCTGCAATCATTGCCAAACAAGCGTAAAATTAGTGGCAATAGCTTAATTTTTCCAGGAAACTTGACATCGCAAACTGCGTACCGTTTGGGTGTTTGCCCCGAGCTGAATGCTGTTTTGGGCTTATCGATAAGCTGCCTGACTTCGGGCGAGGCTGCAACGGGAGAATTGTTGAAGGCAGCGCGATGGCTATAGCAAACTTGAGATGTATAACACGATCAAGTATTTACCAATCATGGTATCAGTGTTTTTCCGGAGCTCGTATTGTGAGTCTATGCGCGCCTGTAGGAATTGAGTCTTGAAATGCATTGACAACAACGATCTGCGTGCCAAATGCAAGCAAGTGCGGAGGTGAAGAAACTGCTACGTTAACATTTTGTCAATTTAACCGTTTCTTGGCAAAAATTGGTAATAGCTGATAAAACGAGTATAGGGTGATTTCGACAGTGTTTGTGAGAGAAGCAGTCCTCTTAAATATATAAATTATATTCTTGCTCCCGGGTAGAGCACGCAATCTCCCACATCCCGTGGCTTGAAACGTGGCTTTGACGATAAGCCTTATCGTCATCCCAACTATCTAATCAGCCTTCATACATGGAACAGTTGGAATAGACTTTGACCTGGCATAAATGGGCCGATTATGCAGCTGGGTTCACGTCCAAATCAAGGATGATTGACGTTTTTCCCGGCCCGTTGGACCGTTTCCCAAACCTGTTCCTGAAGCTGCTCTCGCTTCCCCACACTCTAGACTTGTCCCATTCCAGAACGGAGTCTAGCCTCCGTTTGGTAGACCTCGTGATAGGCCGACTAGGGAGTTCAACACCAAGTCTGGTAGGCGTCCCATATATAAGCCAGGGGGGCTTGCCTTCCATGGCATCACTCCCGCGGGAAATTACCATGAACGAGCTTGAACGAGCAGGATAGTTTATCCAGAGCTCCGGATGCAACCCTCGATTCCACCAAGGATTGCCGAGCTTAGTGGAGAAAGCTGCCAAGAAAAACAAGGCGATGACAAATGATATACTAACCTGCGTTTGTTTCAGAGTGACAGTAGCAGGGGTTCATCTCACTTCGGTATCTTTCGGTTCCAGCGTAGATAGCTAAGCTATGGCCAAGATGGTGGGAATTCCGTCGGCTCATGTTTAAAAAGCTCCGTTAGTCTGCAAGAAAGTGAGCCTTGCACTTGAGAAAAGGACCGACTATGTTCTTCGAACGTACGACAGCTTCATCGTAACTGGCCATTATTCTGATTTGAAGTGAATGAGCTCCAGATTGAGGCCTCGATATGTTCACGGAGAAACTTCCGTGGTTCAATTTGGTATAGCATGTAAATAAATTCTCCTTTGGGAGATGAGTATAAAGGAACGGACAAGTTGTCGAGAATATAGTCCTTCATCAGAGATCCAAATCAATAGTAACTCATTGTCTATCTTCTCAGAACAAGCACTCTATCTCATACCAAACTCACAATGAAGGGCTCTCTTGTCTTCCTCGCCGGGCTTTTCGCCCCATTCGCCCTTGCTCAGTCTCTCTGCGACCAATACTCCTACTACGCTAACGGCGGCTACGAGTTCAACAACAACCGCTGGGGTCAGAGTTCTGGCTCTGGCTCTCAGTGCACTTACATCGACTGGTCCAACAGCAACGGCGCCGGATGGCACGTTGACTGGTCCTGGTCCGGCGGCCAGGACAACGTCAAGGCGTACCCCAACTCTGCTCTCCAGATTGGCACCAAGCGCATCGTCAGCTCCATCAGCAACATGCAGTCTGCTGCTGCTTGGTCCTACAGCGGTACCAACGTTCGTGCCAACGTTGCCTACGATCTCTTCACGGCTGCCGACCCCAACCATGTTACCTACAGTGGTGACTATGAGCTTATGATCTGGTGAGTGCCCCTGACTAACATCGGATATTGGTGTGATGCTAAGACGCTTTGGGATAGGCTCGCCCGATATGGCAACGTCCAGCCTATTGGATCTAAGCAGACCACTGTCAACATTGAGGGACGCAGCTGGGAGCTCTGGGTGGGCATGAACGGAAGCATGAAGGTCTTCAGCTTCGTCGCCTCCAGCCCTGTCAACAGCTTCAACTCTGATGTCAAGCAATTCTTTAACTACCTCGCCAACAGCCAGGGATACCCCGCCAGCAAGCAGTATCTCCTCAGTATGTATCTCTCTGCATTCTATGATGAACCCACCAACTAACATTGCCACTACAGCCTTCCAATTCGGTACCGAGCCTTTCACGTAAGTCAACCTTGCTTCACCTCGATAGACATGTACTAACCAGTCAATAGTGGAAGCAATGCTAAGCTCACTGTCACCAACTTCAATGCTCACGTCAACTAAATTTCGGGATCAATCATCTCTCGGGTGGAATAAATAAGGGCGTATACAATTCTATGTTACATATTTTCTTTTTACATATCACACTCAATAGCAGGCTATCGTAACCACTTTGAACTGTTCAGTGTGTATTGGCTAGTAGCATTCTTGGTGACTCTATGACAATACCAGCGGCAAAGCTCGAGGCAGTTACTCCTCTCATGTTCGAATAAGATAATGAGTCGTCAGACATCTGTAAATACTTCAGACACTTGGCTACGTGGCCTCTAGTCTCCCAATGGTCTTCTGGAGCTTGAACTTTGCTATCACCTTTGGAAACAGTGATATAGTTTTTGATCCAGAAACTTGACTCGATCATCTGCAAATCACATAGCAACACGTGTAGGAGGAATGAAGAACAAAAGAGTAAGCTTCTGTCAGGTAACAGGCAATATGAATGTGGTGTTCCTTGCACGATATATGCTTTCACTGACAGGGGCCTGTAAGGCTGGAAGCGGGAAAGAAGCTTTATGTAGCAACGTGAAGACAAATCAGCTTTCACGATGACTGTTAAAGTTCACATTGCCACAAAGCATTTTAGGGACCAGACCCAAGATGCAAAAGCCATCATTTTTAAGCTCAAACCAAAGTTAAATCCCAGGAACATTGATGGCACGACAGAGGTGACTGTTTGTAGTGCCTAGAGGTAAGCGTAGAGTATGGCGTTGTTATTGGACGTGTGAGGTTCAACTTTTAGATAACAGAATGGTTTAAACTTTTGGTCTCTCACACAAAGCATAAAATTGTCAGCGCAAGCCCTAAAAATGGCAACATGCTCTATTTTTCTCGCACTATTCAAGACCACTGCATCCCCGTCCCAGGAGCAATAGAACCTTAATTCATCCTCTTGTCAAACACACTTACACAACAATTCCAAGTGCCAACACAAGTTCTCAACAATGAAGCTTACACTTCTTTTCCCCACTGCCATATCGATGGCTACCTTTGCAATTGACGAGGCAGTCAATGAAGAGTCGGATGCGCGGATGAATGGCACATCGAAGTTCCCTAGATGGCCCAAGCCTACTAAGAAGCACGCGCCCAAATGCATCTAGGCTGCTGGAGGAAACGCAGGCAAGGAGTTTTATGGTTGTATGTCAACAGTTCCCCTGCCGGTTTATTGAAGTGGCACTGACATGTATGCAAAAAGTGGGAAACTGCGAGGACGACTGCATTTTCAAGGAGAGAAACGGGGGGCTGAATGCGCAGGTAACTGCCACATGGTTGGGAGGCGAGAGTGGACTGTCGACCCCCAATGTCCCCTTTACTACTGCTATGTAAGAAGAAGTAACCCGTTTTCTTTTCGTGAAAGACAGTTACTGATATTACAAGCCCCATTTGGTTCACCATAACGATGAATGAACCACGGAGGGATAACTATGTCATTGAGCGATCACTGGTTGGGATAAGACGATAAGCTATTAAATAGATTGGTGTTCATTATCGATCTATATCAAACAGAAAATAGCTCCACCATTGGTGGACCGTCTTTTATCCCACCTGATACCATTAACAACCCAAGTAAACCGCTTGAGGACTGTTAGCACATCCAATTGATCAACAGAGCCATGGACAAGATTGAACTTACCGTTGGCGTAAAGCGAATACGAATCAGCATTGTAAAGGCAAGACAGAGGATCCAGAGCAGTAGAATTCTCATAGCCATAAGCATAATCCTGAGTTGAAACCTCCTGCTCATACACGGCTCTAGCATGCGTCATCTCGTGAATCGTCGTGGTGGCATGGTCCTGCTTATGGCACTTTTGTGGCAAAGGTGGCAGCGTGTCGTAGAACAGCGGACACATGGTGACATAGCCATTGACCCAGGTCGTGTAAGCGATCAACGGACCGTCGCTCTCACAGTATCCAATCTCATCTCTGCAAAAGACTCGTGTGTTGCCACTGTCCGAAGTAGAACACTCTTCAGCAACGGCGAGAAGTCGGCCTGTAACGTGTTCGCGAGCCTTGGTCTCGTTGGACTTGAAGTACTCGACGAATCTCGCGGAGTGAACGTCAGATGCATCTTTCGCTGCGGCTCGAGCAAGAGTCTCGCAGTTCTTCACGCTGTTGGCTGTGAGTTCGAGCTTGTCGGCGGTGCATGAGTCTTCCTGGAGAATGGTACGCTTTGATGCTTGTTGCTTTGCCTCGGCTGATGAAGCTTTGGCAACCTTGATAGAGATGGGTTCAGACTTCAGCGACACAGGAGTTGGCTTGCTGGATTCCTCAGATACGGCAGGGAGACTACCCTCGGCATACACAGAGTATGTGCCGGGTTTCAAGTCATAAATGGTCGACAAGTCAACAACTCGAAAGATAGATGACCCAGTTTTGAGCGTCTCAAAGTGATTGGTATTGAGTCCATCGTAGTACAGGCTCAGCTCAATGCCCATGAAAGGCACCTCATTTCCTACCGTATGTTAGCAACCAGAAATTTAGTTCCAGAGGGTTACGTGCCGCTCTGGTCCTCCAATGAGAGTTTCTTGACAGGTCGCTCGTCAAGAATTGTACCGATCTTGAGGAGACTCAGATCAGTAGGTCCGGCGTTCTTAATGGAGACATTGATCTGCGTCGATTGCCCAGAAACAGGCTCCAGAGAGACGGTCAAAGCGTCGCTGTTTCGCGCGTGCTTGTGGTGAGGCAAATGCGCTCGAACGCCAGAAGCAAGAAAGGCAACACAAGCCAATGTCGGATAAAAGCGCATCGTGAATTCGTGAATGAGAGAGAAATAGTTCTGTGCCATTTAAACACAGCTGATCCGGCAATGCTTTATGGCAAAGGGGAGACGACAACGCTCGAGCCCCTTATACGGGGCAGATGCCTAGAACAGAAATGAACTCCCCGCCAAGAGTCGTGATACGAGGTCGAACCCTGTCAACATGGTTACATTCTTAGCATGGACTTTATTATATATCTATTTATATTATAAAGATACAGAACTAGTAATTTATGTAACACTTTCCTTGTCTCTATATAAAATATAATAAGCTTACTAAGATACTCTTTATTTAAAGCTAAAGCTTCTTCTCCTCATCTTCCATCTGTCTGATAACCTCAGTCCAGTCCTTATATACACCCTCAGGCAACACCCCTCTTAAGGGCAGCCGACCTCCAGATAAATGTCCAAAACCCAAGACCCTAAATATGCCCTCGCGGATACCTAAAACACCATACTTAACAATGAATTCCTCAGCCGTAGATACTTTCCATTGCAGCCTCTGCACTTCTTCCAGGGCTGATTCGTCCAGTGGTCGTTTGGCCGCGAGCGAAAACAGGCGAGCTACAGTCTTTGGGAAAATGGCTGCGAGACCATCGATGACGCCAGCAGCATTGAACGTAACGATAGGACCGAGCTGTTGGCCAAAGCCGGAGAAGACACGGAACATGAAATGGTCAACGTTGGGGTGAAGGGATAGTTGAAGATGGTGGGAAACGTTTCCATGGGACCTGTTACATGTGAGAAATGCATGATCAGAGACCGAGGTATCTGGGCAACAAACATCTTGCACCCAACAATATTAGGATGCTGTGCCAACTTGACATAGCTGTCAATGCTAATTGTCAAGTTATTCGTTACGCCCGGATAATTGTAACTAAGAACCTTGATGAGCTCGATACCTCTTTTAGATCAGGCTACGCTCTCACAGTAGTATTGGCAGAGTACTATTGTCAGCGACTAAACTGAACCACTCAACTAAGTTATCCTGTGTTACAGCACCGCCAAAGTAGCCTGGCGCAAGCACAAGTCCCCACTGGGCTCCCGCCTGCTGAGCATCGCGAAGCCACTCCAGCGTCTCATCAACACTGTTGACGAGCACTCCCGCCATAATAGGGTAGTCTTTGTACCCTGCCTCGTCGAGAGCCTTACGTACACCCGAGATCAGGTCGACACGTTCGGCGCTCGACATGTGAATGGCCTCGCCTGTGGAGCCCATGAGCACCAAGCCCGTGATGCCCGACTCGGCGAGGTACACACTATGGCTAGCCTGCGTGGCTACGTCGACGGCAGGCTGTAAGTCGGGAGCTTGGGGCTTGTCCTTGAAGAATGTCGGCACGGGCACGAAGACGCCGTCGGGAGGAACGCGAGACGTCATGTGGGTCTAGTCGTATTCAGTGTGTAGATTAGATGAGCATATGGAAGACCGGGCGTCGCAAGGCTCAGCTTTTAAGAGTATATGATATGCGAAGCCGGGATAACTGCAGCTTGCTTGTTACGCTGTATCAGGCGGATATATATAAGACGGATCTTTGATGAGCCATGTGGTATGATTTAGGTGGAGTATCTTGTGAGGTTTGAAAACGGAACGATTAATGCCCGTGGTAAGGATATGCCACCTTTGTGCAATGCCGACACACGGATGTCCTGGGTGGGTAGTGCGATGGAAACAGTTGGTGGGCGGCTGGTGAGTTATGTCTACACGGAGCCGCGTGCCCGGAATGGATGACCAGTCGGCACGATGTGCCATTGGACGGTTTAGTCAGGCTACCCTTATTACGATACGTTAGGTGGCGGCGTTGCTGTGGCCGACGGATGAGTGTTTTCCGACGGATGTCAAGTCATTGGTCCATTGGTTCCGACCACCTCATCCGAAAAAGCCATACCCAATATGGTGGGTGGCAGTGGCACCAATCATTCAGTACGGTACGGTATCCAACACAACTCTTGCACCGAGTTACTGCTGGCCCATGCGACACTGGTTCATCACACTGGCGGCTCCAAGGCTTAGCACGTCGAACCATCTACTCCCCCGCATGATTATCTCTCGATAGTTGACTAACCCCGGAATTGTCTTGTTCCCCATGGGGAAACGCGATCAGTCGAAGCCTTGTCTACTGGCAGCCATCTTTTCTTTGTGGCTGTCCGCTCCTTACTCATAAAAGGCCCTCGACCCGTCCCAAGATAACCGAGACACTTCTATACACGGGCAACTATCCAAAACTGCTTCATCAATTCACTGACTTCTACAATGACTCTCAGCCTCGAGTCAATTCGGGGCACGGCCGACGTGTCCAAGATCGAGGCCCCCATCACCTGGAAGGCGTATCTATGTTGTGTCTCGGCTGCCTTTGGCGGCATATTCTTTGGCTATGATATTGGCTGGATGGGTGGTGTACTTGGCATGCCCTACTTCATCCAGCAGTACACTGGAATTGAATATGACTTTGCCGCTGGAGCCCCTGTCGATGGCTCGCGCCCTTTCGCCATCCCGTCTTCCGACAAGTCGCTCATGACCTCGATTCTCTCGCTGGGAACCTTTCTCGGAGCCATCGTTGCTGGCGACCTCGCCGACATGCTGGGCCGTCGTATCACCATTCTTATGGGCTGTGGCATATTCTCGGTCGGTGTGATCCTCCAGATTGCCAGCAGCGGTCAATTGGCCGTCATGGTTCTCGGACGGCTCGTCGCTGGACTGGGTGTTGGCTTCGAATCAGCTGTTATTATTTTGTACATGTCTGAAGTATCACCTAAGAAGATCCGTGGTGCTGTTGTCTCTGCATATCAATTCTGCATGTAAGTTATATTCATACCAGCTATCCCTAAGGAAATACTGGAGAAGTACTGATACAGTTACTGAAGCACTATTGGGCTCCTCTTGGCCAACTGCGTTGTCTATGGAACTCAGAATATGAGCAGCACCGCATCTTACCGCATTCCTATAGGCCTCCAGTTCCTTTGGGCCATCAGTCTAGCCGTTGCTCTCTTTATTCTTCGTAAGACTCTCTGCAGGTCCTCGAGAACAACACTAATTAGCAAATTCCAGCCGAATCACCACGATATTTTGTCAAGAAGGGTGATATGCAGAAAGCGACCGAGTCTCTCTCCTACATTCGAGGACAGCCTCCCACCTCCGAGTACATCCAGGACGAACTTGCGGAAATCATCGCGAACCATGAATACGAACGGACCGTGACCCCTGACACTGGCTATGTCAACTCGTGGCTCGTCTGCTTCAAGGGTCCCATCACCAGCCCCAGCTCCAACATCCGAAGGACAATCGTAGGAGCTGGAATTCAGGGAATGCAGCAACTATCAGGCATGAACTTCATATTCTACTATGGCACAACATTCTTCCAGCAACTGGGAACCATCTCCAACCCGTTCCTCATATCGCTTATCACAACTCTGGTCAACGTCTTCTCCACTCCTCTTGCTTTCTGGACCATTGAGCGATTCGGACGCCGACCACTGCTCATTTATGGTGGCCTTGCCATGTTCTGCATGCAGTACATCATTGGTGCTGTCGGAACTGCCATGCCCAATGATGAAACAGCTGTTAAGGGCATGATCGCTGTCATCTGCTTCCAAATCTTCTTCTTTGCCACCACCTGGGGACCTGCTGCGTGGGTCGTTGTAGGAGAAGCGTTTTCTCTTCCGATCCGCTCCCGTGGCATCGCCATTTCGACGGCTTCGTGCTGGTTCTGGAACTGTGTGCTTGCAGTCATCTCTCCTTACATGACTGGAGATGAGAAAGGTGCGGTTAACCTCGGGCCTAAAGTTTTCTTCTTCTGGGGAGCACTCTGTTTCCTGGGTGCTGTTTTTGCTTACTTTCTTGTTCCTGAGATGAAAGGGCTCTCCCTCGAACAGGTCGACCGCATGCTTATGGAGACGAGCCCGCGCAAGAGCGCCAAATGGGTTCCCACTACTACCTTTGCTCAAGAGATGGGACATACCGAGGAGAAGGGTGGCGTAATTCATGTTGAGGGCAACCAGGCCTAAAGAAGCTAGACTACAGTGATACCCTCAATTGATTCATGTCACGATTATGGAAGTTTTGCAGACTGGTACTAGTAGAAGCAGCTTTAGTTAGTGGCTTATTTGGTTAGAGTTTGGTTGCTACTATAAGGGGTTCAATCAAATTACGCTCAAACTTCTCTTATACAGTAATTACTCACTTTTTTCAATTGAACTTACTGCTTTAACAATACGATCTGCCTCTCTCTTGTCTTTCGACAAAGCTCAGAGCTGGCCCCAAGTTCTTTCATTGTCGGTAAATAAGGCGTGATACTCTCCCCAGACGTTACTCTATAATAGAAGCTTGTGCTCTAATTAAAGTTTGATTGACTAACTTCTATCATGTTGAATGCAATCGAAGGAGGACGTGTCAGCAGCAAGCTAAAAGGCCGAATCAAGGCTTCCCCGCACTTGAGACGGATATTAATTATCCGACGGAAAACCAGGAGCTTATCAGCTAGTTTTCATCGGATCTTCCGCCACACATTCACTTTGCTCCGAACTTTTTTTTATCGCCGACCAACTTAATAAATCAGCTAACATGGAGGAAATATCCGTCTCGGAACAGACCGTGTCTTCTCCTCACAGGGACCAGGGCGGCTTCATTCTGCATACACTCTCCAACTCGGCCCGGCCAAACGGTCGGATCCGTGTGACGCGTGCGTGCGATAGATGCAAGAAGTAACACGGACACGCCCACTTCTTGTTGGTCACTGGCTGACTCGTCCAGGAGAAAAGTGCGATGTAACGGCCAACAGCCATGTAATGTCTGCGCGGAAGCAAGGGCCTCGTGCTCCTTCAACGCCACGCATACTAGAGGGAGGAGGCCCAACGTCCGAGTCTCTCGGCCTGGTCTTCCACCGCAGATAGCGCCGAATTCGGCAACAAGGAGAGCGTCGTTGAATGATCCAAGTAGCCAGACGGCTTTGGAAGACCTAGACCAGCCAGTGCCTGGGGGAGACTCGCTGATCACTACCGAGCCTGCTTCTCGCATGTCGCCTGAACCAACCCAGACAGATCTCCAAGGCTATTATGTTGGTTCTTCGTCTGGTATCTCATTTCTCTCCAGGATCCAGAAACGGTTTGGCGAGACTGTCTCTTTCCCCCATGGCCTCTCCGTTTTCAACTTTGGAGACGCTCCATTACCTGGGGGCGAAGCCTATCACAACTCGGCCGGTACTGCACAGCCCTGCCTTGACCCGGCATTCTTTTTCCTGCTCGAACGGCAAAGCACGACTCGACTGGTCCAGAGATATTTCGACTTTGCAGTCCCTGTGGACCGGTTCCTGCATCGACCAACTATTGAGCGACGGCTCGACGAGTTCTACGAGACGAAGGGCGCAATGTACGATAAGGATACTGCGCCTGCCGAGAGATCTGTTCTCTTCATGGTCTTTGCGATTGCCCAGGAACACATGGTAACCAAGTTATCCCAGTCAGGTGTCGATACCAGGTACGTCGAGTGATCTTCAGCACAACAAGGCATCTCTTTGACTGATGATTCAGTGTGCGATACTTTCGAGCTGCTGACCACCAACTCTCCATGGAGTTGGGTGCCGTGCGGCTAGCGAGCGTTCAAGCCCGTCTCTGCCAATGCCTCTGGCTCCTCTCGCAGTCACGAATAAACCATTGTTGGAGCCTCTTCGGTACCGTCGCTCGTCTAGCCCTCGCTCTCGGTCTCCATCGCAGCCGAAACGCTAGATCCGACTCCATGTCGCGAGTTGAGATTGAGTGTCGCCGAAGAACATTTTGGAGTGCGTATAGTCTCGACAACTACCTCAGTGCAGCTCTTGGGAGGCCTCGAACCTTTCACGACAGAGACATCGACCAGAAACTCCCATCATGTGTTGATGACGACGACATTGATAACGCGGACGAGTCAATATCCTCTCCTTCGAGACCGCTACTAACCTTCTCATCCGGGCCGGTTGCTTATGCTAAGTAAATACCATAAATACAGAGTTTCCACTGCGAACTGACAATTGACTTACAGGCTATCGCGTATACTTGGCGGAATATTGGTGGACGTCTACTCAATTGAACCAATGACTGTAACCCAGCGACTCACCCATACAGCCAAATATATGCAAGAGCTCAAGAGCTGGAGATCGCGAATGTCGAACTTCCTCGATCAAGATCCCGCAATCGCTGCACAGTTGATCTTGATCTATCAGCGACAGCGTAACGTGCTCAACCTTGCCTACTGGCATACAGTCATTCTGACCAATCGCCCATTGCTACTCAACAACTTTGCAAGACTTACCAGTAGTAGACGACAAGTCGAGGATGAGCGAAAAGCACAGCTCGACGAGAGCGCTGCGGACTGTCTCAACGCGGCAATGAATATTGTTGGCATAGTGGACATGCTCGTACAATCCAAACAGCTGTTTCGAGCTTTCTGGGTAACCTCTATGAATCAGACACGTATCCAAGCTCTGGCTGATACTCTCCTAGTTCACCCCTTACTTTGCCTTTTCTGCTTGTGTCATTCTCTACGTCTACACAATCCAGCGCAGCAGAGAGCAGCAAGTCGTGTATCAGGCATATTTTGAAGCTGCTGAGCGTTGCCAGCAACAGATCGTAGATATAGCCGGAGAAGGAACTCTGACTTCTCGATATTGCCTCGTCTTGGAAGAGCTTCGTGCCGAGGTTGTTGCACAGAGAGGACTCGCTCAGAATCTCACACAAGTTCAATCGTCGATAGATGCGAGAACCCATGTTAATATATCTCGCGCTCATGATGCTGAGACAATGGCAGAGGCTGGGTTAAGTATGGACGTGCCTGATCTTTCAGGAATGGGTTCTTTGGACGACTGGCATGTCAGCCCGTCCGATTCTCTAGAAGATATCACAGGCTGGGGCCAGTTTGATGCTATGGTAAGCTTCCATTCAAGATGCAAAATGATGAGTATTAACATGATGGGGAACAGGTGGTATCTGGCTTTAATGGCGAATATCCGTTCATCATGGGTGACATTACTTAGTTTGTCGAGTATGCTTTTACTGAGTCAGCTATGGTTACTCTAAGCCACTGGGTCAACATAGGAGGTTTATAAACTGTAGCTATATCGACCAGGACTGTTATGATTTGAACGGATCCTACTGCCACTAGACGATTGTGAGAGCAAACTCTCGTTGGCATTGGGTAGTATTGCAGTCGCCACCAGGATACGTATGGGGGTCGACGGATAATTTTAGTAACCGGAGCTTGTATCCGTCCGCATCCGTCGGAAATGCATCTTCCGACTACCCCCTCCCGAGCATCGGAGTTATAGTAAAGCAAGCTGAATACAAAGACATGAGGTTGGTGGAGATATGTCTCAAACCAGTTCATTCTCGAATCACTTCTCATACATCCAACATGTCTCTTAGTGGAAAGGTATATGCCGTGACCGGTGGTGCAAGCGGCATCGGCCTTGCAACAGCCAGGCTTCTCTCCGATCGCGGGAACACAGTCTGCATCGCTGACGTAAACACAGCCGCTCTCAATCAAGCTGAGGAATATTTCAACTCTAGGACGCCAAAGGCTCAATTTTCGGTCACTAGAGTCGATGTGTCCGACAGAGGCCAGGTGGAATCGTGGATTACCAACATCAAGAGCCAGTTTGGCCGTCTAGACGGAGCAGCCAATATTGCAGGCATCATCGGCAAAGGCCATGGCAAAGAGCCCCTTACAGAGCTAGAGGACGATGAGTGGTTCCAGATTCTCAACATAAACTTGACTGGAATGATGTATTGTCTTCGTTCAGAGCTTAAACATATCGAGGATGGTGGATCAATCGTCAACATGGCATCTATCCATGCTACAACCGGTAAGCCTTGCTATCTGGACTCGTTCTTCGTTCAATCTAAGTGTGAAAAGGAATAGCGAACCATGCGGCCTATGCAGCAAGCAAGCACGGGGTCTTGGGCCTCACCCGCGTTGCAGCCAAGGAGAACGGCCATCGAGAGGTCCGCGTCAACGCAGTAGCACCAGGTCCGATTTACACTCCATTGATGCAAGGGTATTGGGATAGGACGGAGCGCCCAGCTGATGCGCCGTTCGAAGAGCCTATTGCGTTTCAACGCTACGGTACTGCCGAAGAGGTAGCAAACGTGGTTGGCTTTCTACTTGGTCCGGAGAGTAGTTTTGTCAGTGGAAGTTGTTACTCCGTTGACGGGGCTTGGATATAAAGTCATGTCTTGAACTAGATATGGAATATGATTATTAACACATACATCCTGACCTTATTCTACTCAATATAGCCTCGTTGGGTATGATATACTGTATACATATTGTAGTTTATAAAATCTCAATTAATCAACTTCCACGTTTGCAAGTCAGGCCGCTTTGCTACCAATGAAGACAATACCACTTCCGGGAATTAAGTATGTTACCAGACACTTGGGCATCTGCAACGGAAGGCCTTTCTACAAGAAGAAATTCAGATCTCGCATAACTCTTTCAACGAAACACTATGTAATTCAAGGAAGTATGTCTGTCGATTTATAATATACCTCTATGACAGGCAGAAGTTGCCCAATATCTCACCACTCGCGAAGCTCCCCACAAGGTCCTCTAAACTCAGGCACGGGCCAGCTCTTTGCATCCTTGGATAGTCGCCTGACTTCCTCCTCGTTGATCTCAATGCCTAGCCCTGGACCGGTCAAGATGTCAATATGACCCTCTCGTACATCCCAGACTTCGGGATTTGCGATGTAACTGGTGATATCCTGCCCCCCATTATTATAGTGCATACCGATACCCATTTCCTGGATAGCAAAGTTGGGCAGTGTTGTATCTACCTGTATATTTGCTGCCAGAGCAATAGGGCCCAGGGGACAATGAGGAGCAAGGCCGACATCATATGTCTCAGCCGCGGCTCCAATACGCCTCATCTCTGAGATTCCTCCAACGTGGCATATATCTGGCTGCAAGATATCCACTGAACCATTCTCGAGGAAGGGTCTGACGTCCCATCGACTGTAGAGTCGCTCCCCCAGAGCAATTGGGACAGTTGTCAGTTCAGACAGCTGCTTGATACCGGTGATGTTCTCTGAGAGAAGAGGTTCTTCGATAAACAGTGGCTCATATGGTTCCAGAGCTTTGACAAGGCGTTTGGCCATCGGTTTGTGGACACGGCCATGGAAGTCAACCGCGGCATCCAATCCAAGTGCCTTGACTGCCTGGACTCGAGCAATGACTTCCTTGAAGACCGAAGGTGAGTCCAGCCACGCCGTGTCTGCTGTGCCATCCATTTTAACTGCTAGAAACCCTTGGTCCTTGCGGGCTTGACTGCTGGACATGAGTATAAAATGCCCTAACAAGGAGCATTGTGACTTACGCTTGAGCCTCTACAGCGTTCGGCCTGTCACCACCGATCCAAGCGTAGACGCGGATCTTGTTCCTGACCTTGCCACCCAGTAGCTGGTATATTGGTACATTGAGCTTCCTCGCTTGTTTCTGGTCAGCGAAACATACTCCCTGTCAACAGAAACGGGAGTATTTCCATCCCATAGCGACCTAGAGCTTCTGCATACCTTTCAAATCCCATAGCGCAATGTCAATGCCAGACAAGGCGCTCATAAACACCGGGCCTCCGCGGTAAAACCCACCGCGCCACGACAGTTGCCAGATGTTTTCAATATCGCTGTTCCACGTTACTCATGAGCTTGCGTCGGAAAAGAAAAAGAGATGTAACTTACTCAGCGTCAAGACCCGTGTATCTCTCAGACCATGCATCAAGGCAGCCTTCAACCGCATTGGTGTGACCTTCGAGAGAAGCCTCACCCCATCCAAAGGCACCAGTATCGTCTGTGATTTTGACGAACAGCCATCGAGGCGGAACACGGAAATACTCGATCGATGCAATCTTACCCATGATGAATTGGAGGCACAGCACCAAGTCTGATGGCTGAGAAAATAATGGAAGTTTATCGATGGCCTGGAGTAACTGGGGAATTGGACAAGCCTGCAAGTCTTTGGCTAAATGCATGGGATCTGAGTCGGGCGGGTAGGTCTTACGACGACCCTATCCATATTCGGCTTTTCCGACGGCTTCCGAGACACGGATCTCGTCAGCAGCTATCCGATTGGCCATTGGTGGAGCAGATAGGGTAGATGCATTTCCTGGTCTGATATTAATCTGCAGTAGGTATTAATAATTAATAAAAAGAGTTATATTTATTTTTATATTAAGCCCTTAATTTAACTCAAATTTAAAAAAAATTATTTATAATAGTATTTAATGAGTATATCCTTTATTAAGTAGTATAAAATAGATAGTATACTTAAATTTTAAAAATCTACTCAGACTATACACATATCAGTCTCTAGATAAACCGTTCACCACCATTGAATGACCTTAAGCATACTGAGAACGATCCTCCCAGCCGGGTTGAAGATATTCGGCATTGAACAGAGGGCTAAATCCCGATCGGTAGATGCCGTCAACTTTCCAATTAACATCCATAGATCCTCCAGCCTCATCCATGGCCCAGATGTTGAGACCGATTGTGTTATCTCCCTGATAGTTGAGAATACCTGGTACCACTGTAAACTGGTTAGTTTGGTAAATTTAAATCCTTGTGCTAAGTGAAACTCACCAGGAAAAGTTGTCTCGTTGGAGATGTACGGTAGAGTCTTCCCATACTGATAGCCATTGACATACAGCTGAGCCCGAAGGTTGGCCTTTTTCTCAGTGTGCAGAGTGAAGGACAAGCTAGCATCGTAGCCTTTGGGGACGTCCAATGGTACGACGGTGCGGTAGAACCGTACTGTAGCGCCTTTGAATCCATATGAAGGCGATCCAGTCTTCCACTTATTATCATCGTAGCCAGGGAGATGCCAGCCAAGGCGCTCGGCATGTAGACCGCCTTCGTTGTAAGTGCCACGAACTGGGTCAATGAGATGGTTTGCGCCGGAATTGCCAGTGACCTTCCACGAAGTAAAGTTGGCAGCAGAACCATCGGCCGTAACGAGAGTGGCGTTCAGGATACCTCTGGGATCAGGTGCTGCCTCACGCTGTTCCTTACCCATTGTATCTTGGATGACGAACAAGATGTTGGCCTCTTCGGTGTTGAGCTTGACACCTTGGAAACTAACCGCCAGCTCGCCCGTCTTATTGGTCATGCTGCCGAGCCAGGCGCCGAGGAACTTGCCATTTACATAGACAGAAAAGCCGCTGGCGAGGCCGCCGATGACACGGAGATAAGCACCCGTAGGCTCATCACCCTTGGTTGCGTTGAAACGGCCTCGCCAGAGAATGTTGCCAGCCTGGTACTCATACTCGTCGGCGAATAGGACGGGGTAAGTATCAGGAGGAACAAAGTGAGGAGTAGTCTCATGATCAGCATCTGCAAGGTCTGTATTAGGTCTTGTTTGACAGTTTCGTGCTTCGGCTTGCTTACCGGTCCATCGAGAGTCATCGTAGTCTGCGGCAACTTCAGGGAGACCCTCACTCACTTTCCAGTGACTGAGAGACGGAAGGCTGGAAGTGAAGCTCTCGACAGTGATGTCAGGAGCTGGGAGAGTACCAATAAAACTTCCATACTTCGACTTGGTAACTTGAAGCTTCTCCCCATTGAAAGAGACTTTTCTAATAGTGTTTGGAGCCCAGATCTCAACAGTCGTCTCTTCGTCCCAGTCACCATTGATGTTGATCGTGTCGCCCTTGATTGAAGCACTTCGCACTAGGTAAGGTCCGCTGACCAAGACTGGAGCTTCTTGTTAGTATATGTAAGTCTCAAGGCTTATCAGGAAGGCCACTCGCCAGTTGAGCTCTCCCAAGCAAGGGGGTTGTTGTCGAGAGTCGGAGCCCAGAATTTGTAAGCTGACCGGCGATCAACCACGACGGCCTCAACATGGTTACTGAAATCAATGACACTCATCTCCTCGCCAGCCACCACATTCGCCACAATACCATTCTTAGTCTTGGTAAAAGACTTCTTGTCACCCTTTCCGCTCACAAACTTGGCTGAAGTCGCGCCCTTGAGCAGGAATTCGCCTTGCTCACCATCAGGGGCCCAGAAGACAACCACTTGGCGGTCTCCAAGGTCCACAGCGGTGAGAATCTCCAGGGTGGCATAAGTGATCTTCTTCCTAGATGCTCCGATGCTGAAGTCCGAGACGAGGACCTTGGACTCCCTGTTCTTCAGGGTGATGGATCCTGAGGTCGGCACTGTAAGGTTACCTGCTTCAGTGGAAACCTTGAGGTGGAACTTGGTCTCTGCAGTGGAAGTCGAGTCTTGGTGGCGGACGACGTAGTACGCGGCATTAGTGTCGGGGTTGCGGAGCTCGCTTGTGAAGATATCTTCATCCGTGGTATAATCAGTACTGCTTCCAACCCGGTTGACCTTGACAAAATCACGAGCAACGCGGACAAAGAGACCGAAAAGCTTCCCCTCATTAAACTTGTCGCCGATCAAGCGGTTCTCATGAATAGGTGCCGAATAATCGTAGCTGGTGCCAACCTCAGGGAAGCCAACGTTACCCCAGTTAGTACCTCCATAAGCCATATAGATATTGACTGCTGTGACCTTTTCCGCCAGGTTATGTCGATAAAAGAGGTTGACCCAGTCGGGACCCATGTTCTCAGAGCATCCACCCTCTGGACCGTCCCAGGGATTGAATGAGCCGCCCTGAAATTCCATGAGAAACGAAGGTTGAGTGGGAGAGACAGCTTTGAAGTGACTGTAGTAGTCGAAAACAGTGTAAGGCTCGACAACACCATTAACGCCAGTGCACTGCGCTAGGTTACATGTCCAGCAAGCAGGGTAGTGGTCTAGACCGTACATATCCACTTCGCCGCCGACGTTGCCGTAGTCTTTGGATCATGATCGTGTCAACATGTTGGGGTTGTTGGCTGTGAATGGAACGTCAATGTCCCAGTCTCTGGTCTTTCCCTCGAGAAGTTCCATATAGTGGATGGCAGTATCGTTGGGCTTCTTGGTCTCGGGGTCAAGCCATTGGTTGCCATACTCATTCTCAATCTGCCACATGATGACAGGGCCACCGTTGGTGATAAGGTATGGGCGAACGTATCCGGCAACAGCCTTGGAATAACGCTCCCAGGCCTTGGTATATGCTGCATTGTCGTCTCGGAGTGGGCCGTATTCTCCTGTCGTCAGCCAGCCAGGGAATCCACCGCCGTTTGCCTCAGCGTTACTGTAAGGGCCAGGGCGGTAGACGACATATAGGTCAAGTTCATGAGCGATGTCAAAGGCATGTTTATAGTCATGAGCACCGGTCTCGAAATCGAGAGTTTCGTTATTCGGAGCGTGCCATCCCCAGTGCTCGTAAAGGCTGATGCCGTTAAAACTATGCTCTTGTCAGAAAGTGTACTGCTACTGCTGTGAGACTTCCACACATACCCAGCAGCTTTAATATTCTCAAAGATATCACGCCATAATTCAGGCACCGGAATCCGCCAGAGATGCAGCTATTTAAAAGTATTAGCCAACAGTCGACTCCAGATTTAGTCCGTACTGACTTCTCCGGACCAGAGGAGAAGTCTCTTTCCGTTGACTTTGACACTGAAATGGTCCCTGTAAGATTGTTAGCCAGGCCTTTGTTATAAGAGCATTGGAATTATACCATTGGACTACCTTGTTCAAGCCATTGTCGTGCAAGGGCCAGCTTTGAGCAGTGGAGTGCGTAGCTAAGCCAGCAATAGCCATAAGACTACTGAAAGGATGCCAAAACTTCATAATAAGTCTTTCGAGTATGGTCAATGCCTATGAAGATTGAAGCTAGGGTTGATGGTTGACGTTATGCGAGAGTTATTAGCTACCCTAGGAAGGTGAGCTACTTATACTAAGCTTTCAACAATATGCTGAAAATAACTTCCTATCACATCGATTCCCCGGACTCTTCTCCTCTCTCAAGCACGGGCGGAGGAACAAGCATAATTAACAAGCTACCCCGCGTCGACACTGGATCGCCCGGTACGGAAAGCCAGCTTTTCCATAATATTCAGGTGCTCATTGCAAGTTTGACCTACGAAGAAGGAGGTAGAGATCCTTAGCCGTCGGATGGATAATCGATCACTGCCAAAATTACTGGAATAAGCATTATCCGTCGGAACATGGCTATCTGTCACCTGAAATGCCAATCCGGTCGGTTAACCTATCGCAGGCATAATTTCCTGACCTGACCGAGGATCATACCCATCATAGATAATCTAGGGGTTGCAGAACGAGAATTGTGGTCCTATAGTGGTCTAGTACCTGAAATGAATATGAGAGGGGCTTTAAATTTTTTAAGACTAAATAAAGCACTTTGATGCTAATAACCTGGACAAAGGTGTCTGTAAATATGATAGCTACTCTGGCCAAAGTATTAATGCTAAGAGTTATTAGGCTGAAAGGTAAGATGTTGAATATTGAAAGAATTTTACTAAGACTAACTTGTCCTTTGACCTCTGGAATAGATACAGATGCTTTCACATAGATGCATTGACTAGTTTAAGTACACCAAACATGAAGCCTGTTGAAAACAGGTTGAATAAGTATATATACATGGATAAATAAAAATGCACATAAAGAGCGTTCCAGACGCAATTTAATATCCCCCATCTGTAAATAGCTGCTGCTCTGGAGCAAGGTGTCCACCCTAGTGACCTTGGTAATTACAGAAGAGTACCAAGAGCCGCCAAACTATCATAGGCCTTCCCACTAGGGTCAAACAAGACATTGGCTTCACATGAAGAGCCCAATACAGCGTTGTTAATCCATGCTGGTTCCCAGTAGTTGAGTCCCGTAGCTGCAGGAATCGCCTTGAGCGTATCCGCTAGAAGGCGAAGATACTGAGCTTGACCTGCTGGAGTAAAGGGGATGTCGAGCTGATCTGCAGGGAAAGCGTAGTCTGGGTTAGGACACGACGTCGGCCAGTTAGTCTCAACAACTTGAACTTCCTTGTTGTATTTTGTTGCCAAGTGGTTGAGAGAGTCGGTTAAGTTCTGCATGGTGGCACCTTCGCCCCAGAAGGGATAGAAAGAAACGGCGCTGACATCCCAGTCGTCGAGCTTGAGGTAGCCAGGTGCCAAAACTAGATCGTAGAACCAGTTTTGCAGTTCCTGGTTATATCCGTGTGCAAGGTGGATGAGGATCTTGGTACAGGATCCTAGGGGCGATTGGCGAACAGCCTGGGCTGCAGTATGAAGAAGTCGGGACAGGTTCTCGGGGTTCTCAAAGTAGCCCGTGGGCCAAAGTATTCCGTTGGGGATCTCGTTGCCGATGGTGATAGTCTCAGGCCAAAGCCTCTCCGAGTAGAAAGTGTTGGCAACCTCCGTCACGTAATTCCACAAAGTCCTCTCTAATCCGTCGATGTCCGTCGGCCAGCCGGTGGGGATTTCTTGTAGGTCCGGGTTGGTCCAGGTGTCACTAAAGTGAAGATGAGTCCAAATTTCAGTCCTGCGTTGGACGCTCATCGTGCTAGTTTGATGTTGTAGTCGATTCCGTAATCACCGTCAACCGTGAAGACTCGTTGACGGACCATGTTGACACCGGCTTCGACAAGTATAGTCTCGAGGGGCTTCACCACACCCTGAGCATCCTTGTAGACAACACCATTGTCCCGTTCCTCAACTATAGCTGAGGACCAATCGACTCCGACATACTGCAATGGACTGGCTCTGGAAGCCTTGCAGGTGCTTGCAGCTGCAAGCTGGGAGAATGGTAAAATAGTCGACAGGGCGACTAAGAAAATAGCCTTGAACATTTCGGCTAGACTGAAAAACAGTGGAAAACGAAGGAATGAAGAGAAATAGTTATTGACATATTGGACAATCAGCAACTGACCTGTACTAATGTACTTCTGTGACATGGCGTAATCCCTAGCCCCTCTCTTTGGGTCTGGTTAATATTAACTCAGGTTCAAAGAGTAAAACAGTATCTCCACATCCGACAGATCCTACTATCCAATGAATGGGCTTATTGGGCAAGCAAAAGGTGGGCTCGGAAATACACAATGTTTCACCTTGGCTTATACTGTAGTTTACTTTGGGTCCGGACTTGCTGGGCTCTACCGCGAATTAAACTAAGCACTAGACTCATTATGGTCCGGACCAAATCTGGCAACTGGCATTATCAACTTGTATCCCAGTGTTATACATATGACGGTCGACGGCCATCCTCAACGATGGCTTGTCGTCGAGGGACACATTGGCTGTAACTAGATTACGGCAGTACTCGCACCTTGTTCCATGGTTAGGTATAAGGCAATACAGGGTTGCAGGAGAATATTCCAGATAAGCCGTTGAAGGGGGCGAGAAAGAGTGGACAGGGGATCTGGACGTAGAAATCGTGAGCAAAGCTCCCGAGTCAGGCATATTACATAAGATACTGATACAGTACCCAACGAAGATCATTTATAATAGTAAGTATCATGCCTTGTAAAGCCCTGAATTCTAATTATTATACTTTATTCCTCCTTCGCCTTCATCATTTTTTCAGTATACTCCTTGCCAGCCTTCAACCACCATGCGCCAATTAGGATTGCCAGGCCACCCACGACGACACAGGTATAGTTCATGTTTGCAACCTCAACGGGCATAACGTAAGGGAAGGAGAAGAAGATGATCGCGAATGTCAGCCAACAAACTGTCACGGTGTTGACAATGGGCCCGATCGTTGGGCCCATGTGGAATACACCCTTGTGCATGTTCTTTCTGCCGGTAAGCAGGTTGGTGAGGATCGGGAACATATAGGAGATGTTGTTGATAGTGACGGCCGTTCCGAGAAGGGAGTTAAATGCGGTGGATGAGCCGAGATACAAGCATCCCAGGGCAGCAATCACAGCTGTGACTGCAAGCTGGGAATTGAAGGGGATCTTGAGGCTTGGGTGGACCTTGGACCAGCTAAAGTACGGTCAATTACGGAGCTCTCAAGCCATGCCAATGTAGACTTACACTTTGGAAAACGGAATAGCACCATCGCGGGAGAAGGCCCAGAAGATTCGACCAGTGCTGAGCTGAGAGCTGATCACGCAGGGGCCGAGAGCGATGAATAGGATGAACAAAAGACCGAAAGCACCGCCAGTCTTCTGGGTGACTTGGCGGAACAGCTCTGCAAGAGGCATTCCGGTGTTGCCGGATGTCAGCTGGTCGAAATCCTGGATCGAAAACATGAGACTGATGAGATACGTGAGACCAGTGCAGAACGCGATGACCAAGGTAATAGCAATTGCCAGGGGCGCATTCTTTGAAGGCTGCTTTCGGTCAGTTCCTACTCAATAAAGTCCCAAGATGGTCAAACATACGTTGGGCATCTCTTCTGTGATATGCGTCACTCCATCAAGACCGCCTAGAGAGTACAAAGGATTGACTAAACCAGTGATGAAGCAAATGGCGTTGTTATTCCAGCCAGTCGTGTTGATCCAAGTCCTGAAAACAAATTCAGGATCGCGGTGTGTCGGGGCGCATGCAACGACAGTTACCAGCACGACAAGCCAGCCGATCTGCAGGTAAAAGAGCGAGAACTTGTTCAAGGCGGGGATGATCTTGTTCCCGAACATGACAACGCCAGCGGTGAGTAAGTTTAAGCCTTGGTAGACGATAAAGGTCTGCCAGGCCTTGATCTCAAGATCGGCTATGTACAGAGCGATCAATGCCATGAGGATTTGTGCGTAGATGATGTTGGTAGATGCAGTGGTGAAGATCCCTGGAATGTCAGTGTCCGGAGCCTCTCTTTACTGGCATTTGACTTACAGCCGAGAACACTGAACCAACCGGTCAGGAAGCTCAAGATGCCAGTTGCTCTTCTTGGCGCGACAGCCGCAATCCAATGATACATGCCGCCCTCGGTAGGGTAAGACGACACAAACTCAGCGAGTGACGCCCCGAGGAAGCATTGCAGGATTGTCACGAGGATGAAGCCGTAGATAACCGCGCCAGGACCTCCAGCTCCAATCTCAGTGATCAAACCAAGACCCAATCCTGTCCATGAGATAGTTGTCGTGGAGGCCAGACCGATCAGACTCAGGGTGCTGAAATGTCGATTGAGCTCCTGGGTATGACCTGATTGCAAGAGTTAGTATGATAGTCCATTTCGAAATGTTGGTTATTCGACGAACCCATTTGCGCCAGGCGTAACTCATCCGCATCTATTTCGGCTTTCGTTTCCGAAATATCCAGACTCCGCTTCATGCTGGATACACCTTGATCGTCTGGTGCAGCCATTGTCGTTGAACAGAGTCGCGATCTGCTGGCTCGAAACTATTCTCTGTAATATTGCAGTTGCAAATATCAAGGCTCCATTATGGCTATTGGGGTCACGCGAGATATAAGCATACTCAAGACTAGCGTGTTATCTTGTTTCTCGAACGATAGCTTATCGGGTAGTCGGCACAGCGCTCACATGTTGTGAAGCATTGTGATATGCAGATCCCCGGTTCAGAACGGGTCCATGTAACCCCATATTTCCTGTCCCTCCAATCGCGGAGACAACTCGGATACAAGTGCGATAATACAGATGCACAATCAACGGTCAACTGCGGACCGGTTCGGCTAAACCACCGGTAAAGACCGAGTGAGAGACTTGATTAGATAGGATATCTTGTACTAAGAGATCGGTCTTGTGAGCCAGATAAGGCCGTAGTCTATGCGGGGTAACCAGCCCCCTCCACATGGTTCATGTACTAGCATCGAGGAACCAAGCTAGGGTTATCATTGCGATACGTGGAAATTGGAATAACAGAACTCGAAGATGTTGATCGGCAGACACTCGCATGACATGATGCCGAACTCGGCTTTCATGAGACTGGGGTCAACATGTCGCGCAACTAGTTTCTATGTATAATAGCATGGCTTATAACATGGCATAGTCTCCTCACACCTCTTCTGTCTCTATCCACTCAAACAGGTTGAGACAAAGTTGCAGTCATGCGTTTCTCCTCCGCCATTAGCCTTGCAGCTCTTGCAATCAGTCATGGAGATGCTGCAGGTAGCTACGTTAAGTCCATGTCGCCGAATGCGCAACAACTCTTCACCGAGTCAATGCAATGGATGGATACCTTCTACGACCGCAAAGCAGGCTACCTCTACGACTTCAGCGCTTCGGTAGCACTCCGCCACGAAACGCGTAGTTCAGTGTGGTACGCCTTTGGTCTGTTGGCGAGGAACGAGGGGTCTGATGCTGCTGAGGCTGAGAAGATCATCAAGAACACCATTGATGCGCAGTTTAAAGTCCCGGCTGAAGAATGGTATGTCCAAAACTCAATGGGACAGCTAATTTGACACTGACGCTTGTCCAGGTACGGTGACTATCAGCAAGAGCCTGAAGAGCCTTATGTAGGCAGCCCAGCTTACCCTCCCAAGATTTACGGTAGCTGGGACCCCAACTGGCGCGGTTTCGTTGGCACGACTTTGGTCATGTGTATGGAAGAGTTTCCTCACTTGCTCAGCAAGAGCACTCAGAATTTGATCCTGCACTCCCTACATAACGCGACTAAGGGCGATGAGTACCGTTTCGGACACCTCGATAAGACCAAGGATAACCTTTACCCTTCTTATAGTAACCCTGTGAGTATTTCTGGTCAGGCATTCCGTGTTCTGTATGTTCTCTGACCATGGTTTATGTCAGTCCATTATGCGTGCCTTTGTTTCTGGTTGGACAGGCCGTCGTCTTAATGACAGGAACATGACCGTTGGCGGCGAGAAGTACGCTCAAGATATTATCGATCTCTTCAACAAACACAACACCCTCTCCGAGTTCAACTCAGGCACCTATACCGGCGTATCTCTTTTTGGCCTTATCCTTTGGAGTAAGTATCTGCCCAAGGATTCTGTCATGACGAAGAACGGGCCACGAATGGTTGAAAGAACCTGGGATGCTGTTTCCCAGCTGTGGCATCCCGGTATGAAGAACATAGCTGGTCCCTGGGATCGAGCCTATGGTTACGATATGAACCGCTATCTCAGCTTGATGGCTTTGTGGCTCTGGACTTTGACTGGAAAAGAGAGCTCGTCTCTGACTTCACACGTATGAAACCCCTCCTTGTAGTACTCACTGGGTTTTTGAGACGTTACTAATACGTTTGCTGCAGCCTCAAGTCATGTCACACATGGCTGACTATGCCTGGGGACCTCTTTTCGCGGCCCTAGACAAGACACACCAGAAGCTCATCCCGAAGAAGACGCTCCGCAAGCTCTCAAAGTTCCAGGGCGAACATACCTTCCAGGGCAGCGCTTACTATCCTCCCTTCGACACTGCATCGCGTAACATTACTACCTGGTTATCTGAAGACCTTACTATTGGCGCCGAGTCCTACGACGAGATTGTTATTGGCGGTCCATCGCAATCTCAGGGGTCTTTCAATCCTGCAGTGGTCCAGTGGAATACTGGAGATGAGATCTCGTTTATTTCTGTATGAATCCTAAATCTCCTCGTAAAGAGACAAAGCTAATATGATGTCTAGCTATACCCAACCGAGATGGCTCTCCAATCCCGCGTCAAACCCAGCAAGCTCAGTTTATCATACCCTTACGGCAACGCCAGTTCTGTCTTTACCTTTGTCGTCGGTACATTTGAGAAGAAACGTACTGTCGCTAGCTGGGCTGACGTTCAGGGTCTGGAGGTAAAGGTCTCTGGCAACGTCAACTCGACTTATACCCTCTCATTCGCTGGTGGCTACGGAGGAGCGGACAGTCTTATTCGGGATTTCGAGTTTTGGAACTTCACCTACACGATGCCTTCCGACTTTCAGGGAGTGCCTTCTGTCGA